TGCACCTGGTCTACGCCAAATGCCCCGCACCTTACGGGTATGGTTTCAATGGCAACTCAACCGCAAGTATTTAATGTTACAGCATAAGCAGAGAACAAAATCACTGAAGTCATGCATTGCGTTTGCAAATCTGGACCTCATTTCCGACTATACAGTCACAACAACAATTCCAGGCATAGACAGAAAGTGACCTAGTACTGCATAAAAAGACCCTTGAACATGTCCACAACTCTTATTCAAAACCTGAATGGGCACTCGTATACACCGATGAAGGACCTGTTACTGACATGCGTATTCACAGAGGCAACCCGCCTGATGGTCTGATCTGAGCATACGAAACCGAACGCAAAAAAGAAGAATAATTCCCGACTGCAGACCACACCACTTGGTGTCGCCGCCATGAGTTTTAACTTCCTTGCAGGTTGAGCAGGGCTATGTGGATTTTGATATGTTGGGTTGCCATCCAGGATGTCATTATTGAAGATGAAGGACCTGTTACTGACATGCGTATTCACAGAGGCAACCCGCCTGATGGTCTGATCTGAGCATACGAAACCGAACGCAAAAAAGAAGAATAATTCCCGACTGCAGACCACACCACTTGGTGTCGCCGCCATGAGTTTTAACTTCCTTGCAGGTTGAGCAGGGCTATGTGGATTTTGATATGTTGGGTTGCCATCCAGGATGTCATTATTGAAGTTGAAGGTAGTCAAATCATCAGTTAGCATCCCAGTTGGGTGGGGGAGAGACAGGCAGACACACTCATATTAAAAAGCAGTCTTAATTAAAATAAATATATAAAAAGCATGCTTATAGGAAAACACCTGGGTAACTATTCGACGTCATAGCATTCAAGATAAACTCTTATTAACCTCGTCTCCCTCGACAGCCAGCATAGAGTCTACATACGGATGGTGAACTTTGCCATCTGGTTAACTACTAGTTGTCATCTGGTTAACTACTCATTGTCATCTAGTTAACCACTCGTTGTCATCTGTTTAACTACTAGTTGTCATCTGGTTAACTACTAGTTGTCATCTGGTTAACTACTCGTTGTCATCTAGTTAACTACTCGTTGTCATCTGGTTAACTACTCGTCTTGCCTTTGTCCCAGAGCCGTTAGAGGCTCCTTGCTTCATCATTGTCTCCAAGTTTTACTTTTTACCTCATCCCACAGGTGAGAGAGATCGCATCTGCCTTGCGCAGTTGCACCCCCCCCCCACTCTCCTCCTCAACCCCGTTCCCATCCAGTGCAGCCCTTACAACTAATCAGTAGTTGCATACACAATCAATTGTATAAGGCGCCACCAGTTCTATGGCAATGGTCCACTCGCCATTTTCTAAATTTGTGTTTACAAATCACTCAGAGGGCACAGCTTAATTGCATTCCAAATAAAATCTGTTGCACACAGTATCACACTAAGTACTCAACTCAGGTGCTGGGCAACGGAACTATATACTAATATTCAGTCTACATAAAGGGGAAAATGCGATGATTAATCACAGCCAGAAACAATAATTTACCACAACTAAAACAGTAAGCCTTCCTACCTGCCATACTGCACAGTAAGCAAAACTTTGGACTACTGTAGCCAGTGACTGCTGCAGAAATTAAGATATTGGAAAACTGGAACTGTTGTAGAAAAGTAAAATAATGAACAATTTTTTCCTGGGACTGTGGCAGAAACCAACGGATTTGACAACTTCATCCAGAGACAGTTGCAGAAAGTATAATATTGAGCAATTGTGCTGTCTCAGAAAGTATTGTGTTGTAGTACTTTTGTTGTTCTTCTTCTTCTTTTCTGTTGTCATCTCACTGATACCAGGTGTCGCGGTTTTCTGTATTTGTCTCACGCTTTTCGGGCGGCTTGAGTGATGGATTTGTTAATCTTATTTGCAGGATTCAGCTATACCATTCTTTCATCGATCTCCTTTTTGGTCTTCCTCTCGCCTTTCTCTCAGATTTTCTACTGTAAAAAGTCTCATATGCCGACTGGTCTGGGTGCATTCTCACTAGATAGCCCAACCATTTCATTCTTTGTCAGTATAATCCAGTAATTTTCTTATTCCAAGTTTCTCTTTAATGCTGGTATCCGTAACCCGGTCTTGTCTAGTGCTGTTAGAGACCTTGCGGAGACAACGCATTTCACATGTAGTTATTTTCTGTTCTAGTGCCCTATTCATTGTCCATGTTAGGCATTGATAACATAAAGCAGGGATAAAGATGTTATTAATCATTTGCTGTTTTGCTGAAAGGGAGACATGTGGGTGTCTAAGCAGTGGGGCTAACTGGTAGGTGACAGCGTTTGCCTTCTGTACTCTGGCTTTGTTCTTCTATTAAGTCCGCCATCCTCAGTTTATATGCTTCCCAGATATTTGAATTTTCCTTACCCTTTTTTCTCAATCCCTTTTTTCTCTTGTCTTTTATTTATCTGATCTTACACTAAAAGCTTAAAGTGTATCCTAACTATGTTCACTGTTTTTACACACACATGCACGCACACACAAGAATAATGAACAATATGAGGACACAAGAAAACTTTCAACTAATGAGTCAAACCTCAGCCGTGATCAACAGAACACAATCATTATTTTACAAAGCAGGTTCGTTATTCCTTCAGCTGAACATCTTAGACCAACAGCAGGTGTCAACAGAACTTGTGCATCATAAATTATGTTTTGTTTTACACTGGAGATTTATATGCTGCATAAACATCTGACAAAATGTAAGTATTTACTTAGTTGAGTCTTCACTTCCCTACTCTGAATTTGCTTTATTTTGTCACTCATGTCGACTATCATTGCTGTATTCTATCTTTCTTGTAATCTAAACCAGGCTATTCAACTGGCAGCCTGTGGGCCAAATCTAGCCCGCGCAGGCCTAGCAAGTAGCCCGCGGATCACTGCCTACTGTACTGTTTAATAATCTTTCTATGCTGGGGCTTGGGTCTCTGGCTCGCGACCAGGGGCCAAACAGTTGAACAGTACCTGCACTAAACCATCATTGCTATATTTTATCATTCCTATACTCATCTATCATTTCTATTATCTATCATTCATGCACTCTAAACTATTACTGCTTATTATATCATTCTTGCACTCTAAACTGTCACTGCTGTATTCTATCATTCATGTACCTATCACTGAAGTATTATTGTTGCTATTCTATCTTTCTTGTACTCTGAACTATCATTGAAGAAATGTAAGCCAGTATTTATAATATAAACACCTGAGAATACAGGATCTGAGCAGAAATTTTCTTAGAGAACAACATGAAAAACATAATTCGTGTACCCAAATAATTCATGTTCAGTGTCAATGAATCTGAAATAAGGTCACTCCTTGGTGAAGACAAACACATACCTGGCTGACCCACCCACTCACCTATACACACCCATCTAAACCAACGCCAAAACTCACTAACACACTCACCCACCTTATCCCATATAAACCCACCCAAGCAGTCACTGACTGACCAGTCACTCAGCTGGTCTGTCTGTCTATATTTTCAGCAGTCACATGTAAACTCAGAAACTTTCATGTACATTCAACCTGATCTCTCAGCATCTGACTATGTAACACTGTAGACATACCGAGTGCTGTGATGTCTCCAATCAACTCAACATCCCTGTGAGTAACATTTCAGCAACCATCAATCCCTTGTCAAGAACACAACAACTGTCCCACATGTATGGCAGTGTTTGGAAGTTATCAACTGACATTTATTTATTTAATCAGGTCTTTCATTAGCCAAATTTTTCAGCCATTAATTTTGTTTTTCATTTCAAGACTGTTAAGATCACAGTACAGATAGTGACCCACTAAGATCTTACAAGGATCCAAGCACCTAGAACAAAATAAATAAACATCAGGTAAAATTCCTTCCATGTCTGTAAAAATGATAGTAGGCCAGCTAGACGGGCAACAACATGTGGTGATACAGATATGGCTGCAGACCTGGCTTTGTGCTACTCAAACAGCAGCACTGGACACAGAATGGCATGTCCTGCTGTTCAGTCTTGACTGCTAAACATTGCAAGATCAAGGCTATGTGAATGTGTAAGACTTTCAAATACATTTCAAACACATTTCATGGATGTTTGTGACAAAAAGATGCAACAAAACCACCAGCTCTACCTGTCTGCAGCCTCCTTGGTGGACCCAAAAAGTCAAACAGGCTTGGAAATAAACAGAGCAGCAGTTAAACAATAACACAAAATATGACTTCCCACAGGTCACAAGAGAACAAGAGATGGCAGAAAGAATTAAAAACAAAAAAGGCAGAAGAATTCAAGCAAGGAGCAGGTATGCAACAAAAATCTAAATGGAAATAATGTAAGTCTTATATTTTTCTTGTTCTTTTCTTCACCTGATAAATGTCTTTCACATTTGGGCATAAATGTGTTCTGTCTGCTTACAGCAGAGTTGCAGTATCTGTGCCTTTCAGCTGACAAATCAGATTTCAGACATTTGCTGACTGGGTTAGCCTGCCCAATGATGAGTCAATCATTGTGCTACAGTTTTCAAAACCACATTTTTAAATATTTTTTTTGTTTGTTTTGTTATTTACTATATTATATCTGTCTTAACTACACTTAAATGACATGAAGAACTGGGGACTGATAACAACTTTGTTTCATCCCCATAAACATGCAGCATTCTCATGTCTGTGAGTCCAAGAGCTGTTAGAACTTTCTCCATGGACCACAGATTAAAAGGTCACACTTTAAACATATTTTTGACCCTGTGTGGGTTCAAAGGTACCATTTTTAGGGAAATTTAAAAAAAAAACCAGATCCACTATACCCAAACAAGAATCTCCAGAAAGTCCAGATGTGGCTGAGCAACCAGAATATTCCATCAGAGTCTACAGCCAGTGAGCACTAAGAAGAAGAAGACACATTCTTAAAAGACAAGCTCCACAACTGCTGCACACTGAAGACATCTGAAGGTGGGCTAGCTCTGACTAAGACTGCGTGAGAAACCACACATTCTTCATGTTAAACCTCATGTACTGCCTGTGTCGTCAAAGCTTCTCCTCCAGAGTTCCAAATTTTGTAGTCCACAGAAAGATATTCACGATCTACAAGCAGAAACAGAGAAAAATATCACAATCGTTTATACCCTCAATACATATTTGTTTTCACATGCAAATACTATAAAGGGTAATGATTTCACATTTAGGCACTGATCAGTGTACCCAGGGCAATAATTCCCACCAAGAAAATTATCAGTACAGTCAAAACGACATTTATTAATTATTTCAAACACCTCTGTCTAAACAAAACAAAAACAGTAATATCCGGGTATATGGATCCTGCTACCGGGATCTATATCCCGGTCAAGAATGCGAAGTTGGATGTGTCAGCGGAAATGACCAAATATCGCAGCTCTCCTGTAAAACGGAACAATACATTTACAGGATGTTTGTTGGATGAACGAAAAAAAGAAGAAAAAGAAGATCCTGCTAGATGACTTGTTCCTCACTGAGATGACATACCAATTCCAACTTTTAGTCAGATTTCAGATTCTTGACTAGAAAGTTGAGACAACAGTGTCTTGTGGAACAACAAGTGACACTGATAGCCATTTCAAACTTGATTTTTCAGCTGCTCAACACTTCGACCACCTTGAATAGAATGATCTTATCCAAGATCCACATCATTAAAAGAAATCTTCATTACTTTTGGCTTCAAGATTTAATTTTAAAAAATACTGCCTGCTGAAACAAAGATGACATTTTATTGCAGCAGAGAGCAAGGTTTTTTCCATTCTAAATCAAACAACCTGGTGTTTTGTGCTAATGTAGGAAGTCTTGTAAACCAAATGTGTGTAAGTTGTACACCAGATGAGTGGACACTTTTCATTAACAGCTTTAAAGAAGTTTCAAAGGTGTCTTCTTACACAATAGTAACATAATATGGTTCCATTACTATTGCTCATTTTACCACAATGAAGGAGGAGTATGCCAAAATAAGCACAGTTCTGGAACAAATGAATAGTTTGTGTAGATCTTAAAATGACGAAATTGCTTGACCAGCAAAGCGGATTCCCCATATAGCCATGCTTTATGTGTCTTTGGAAAGCAGCGCAAAAGATATGCACTGGATATAAGCTTGGCTCAATGAAGCATCTGTTTTAATTACTTATGCAGACAATATCCAGAACTGAGCACAGACAATCTTAAAGTTTAAATTTTTGATGGATCTCAAATTAAAAAGTTAAGGAAGGACACATATTTTATTGATCCAACTGTCTGGAGATGATGCGCCCAAAATATCGAACCAGCGCAAAGTAGCCGAAAGGACGGCTGGGCCGATCGGTCGGTCCTGTGTAATAAAAGCACGTTTAGTACCAGCCAATCAGATTGCTTCTCAAATTTCTTGCACATGTGGGGTGTTTAATAATGGCTTTTGAGAAAGTTTGATGTGTTCTGTAATTTTATCGTTATTTTTGTGTGGCTTCACCTGTGCCCAAGGATGGCAAAAAGGCCTGTTGCGTCACAGCAACCGAAACATAGCAGAAGGCATGAAAATGAGTATAACCATGTGTCAGAAGTGCCAAAATGGCCTCCATGGGTCTTATTTCCCAAAGACCCAAGTCTTAGGCTTCATCCATAAAAATATATATCCAAATTTCTCAGGTTAGTCATGTTTGATCCCAAGTTAAAAAAAAAAATTCCTGCATAAATTATGGAAATCATAATAGTTAATTTGAATAAATGTTGAGATTTTAGTTCGATTCATACATATTCTGTTAGTTCATTAACTTTCCTTCCTTAATATATATAGTTTTATGCATGTTAATTACACGCTTTATTTTTAAGAGCTTTATGTGTGTAAACTAAAAGAATTCTTCCCTGAAGGCTTCGTCTTTTTGGCCCTGAAACTCCAGAAATGCTCCATCTTCAAAGGGTTAATGAACAAAAGAGACTCCACAGCCAGAACATCATTTGTTTCAGTTGAGCAAAAACTTTTTGGGTAATTTGAAAGATGACAATTATTCTAAATGAGTTTGAAACCAGCTGTTGAGTTGGGAAAACTGGGATGCTATGATATATGAGCATAACATTGCACCAGCTCCATAACCATTTACATGTAATTCTGGAGAATCTTGGAGAGTTTAGTGAGCAGCAAGATGACAGATTTCACCAGGATAGAACAACAAAGGAGATGACAGATTTCACCAGGATAGAACAACAAAGGAGATGACAGATTTCACCAGGACAGAACAACAAAGGAGATGAAAGATTTCACCAGGATAGAACAACAAAGGAGATGACAGATTTCACCAAGATAGAACAACAAAGGAGATGACAGATTTCACCAAGATAGAACAACAAAGGAGATGACAGATTTCACCAGGACAGAACAACAAAGGAGATGACAGATTTCACCAAGATAGAACAACAAAGGAGATGACAGATTTCACCAGGATAGAACAACAAAGGAGATGAAAGATTTCACCAGGATAGAACAACAAAGGAGATGAAAGATTTCACCAAGATAGAACAACAAAGGAGATGACAGATTTCACCAGGACAGAACAACAAAGGAGATGAAAGATTTCACCAGGATAGAACAACAAAGGAGATGACAGATTTCACCAAGATAGAACAACAAAGGAGATGACAGATTTTACCAAGATAGAACAACAAAGGAGATGACAGATTTCACCAGGACAGAACAACAAAGGAGATGACAGATTTCACCAAGATAGAACAACAAAGGAGATGACAGATTTCACCAGGATAGAACAACAAAGGAGATGACAGATTTCACCAAGATAGAACAACAAAGGAGATGACAGATTTCACCAGGACAGAACAACAAAGGAGATGAAAGATTTCACCAGGACAGAACAACAAAGGAGATGACAGATTTCACCAGGACAGAACAACAAAGGAGATGACAGATTTCACCAGGATAGAACAACAAAGGAGATGACAAATTTCACCAAGATAGAACAACAAAGGAGATGACAGATTTCACCAAGATAGAACAACAAAGGAGATGACAGATTTCACCAAGATAGAACAACAAAGGAGATGACAGATTTCACCAGGATAGAACAACAAAGGAGATGACAGATTTCACCAGGATAGAACAACAAAGGAGATGAAAGATTTCACCAAGATAGAACAACAAAGGAGATGACAGATTTCACCAAGATAGAACAACAAAGGAGATGAAAGATTTCACCAAGATAGAACAACAAAGGAGATGACAGATTTCACCAAGATAGTACAACAAAGGAGATGACAGATTTCACCAGGATAGAACAACAAAGGAGAGTCTTTGGGATGCCCACATGATGGCAGATGACTGTTTGGTCTCTTAAGCATGAGTGCCTGGGCATATCACATGACAAGAAGCTTGTGTGTGATGACTGTTGATACAAATGCTGGTGATAAGGTGTTAATACGCTGTTGGTGTTTTATGCAGGTAATAAATGCCTTTCAGAAATGAACATCAGTCTTAATAGTGCTCTTGACAGAGCTCATCAATGTACATTACATCTCCCCCCGACACTTCGATGAGGTACAAGGTGAAAGAGAAGAAGAAGAAGAAGAAGAAGAAATGCACAGTAATTACAAATAATATGAATGCAGATTCAAATCAAAATGCCACTGACAGCGCCTGACTCCAGGCTTGTACATAAATGTTGCCCTACTAAGAATGTCAGAGCTATCTCAAAACTGAGTTGACACCAAAAGAATCTATATTTTCAGAATCACCAACACAAATTACCCAAAAACAGCTACACAATTTAATGCACCAAATGTTTCTAGATCAGTGAAATCAGCTATGAAAACAATCATCATCACATCTAATACACTAATCACCCATGAAGGCAATTAGAACAAGCAATAAAGCTATAGATACAGCAAACAGACACAAGGGAAGAATGAAATCAAAAAAGTACTTACTGAGCTGTAGCTTGAATTTAGTTGATGGCGAGACTTGTATAGATTTAGGATCAATCCAACAGCCTGACATGGTAAAGTCTTGAATTTTGAAATTTAACTGAAAATATAATGAAGGACAAAAAGAGATCAGGTATGGGGTACAACAGACAATACTATCATTTGTGCAACAACAACAAAATCTTTTTCTTCTTCATTTATCTGGTGTGGGACAGTGGTTGCATTGCGGCAGTTTACAGCACAGCTGAGATATTTCCTGCTTTTGACAGACACATTCAATTTCATCTCAGCATTTATTTTTCCATTCAGCACCCCTTTTTGTAGGACATCTTACTGTCTCACTATGGTTTCTAATTCTGACAGCTGCTGTATCAGCTGTTATAGAAGAAAGAGACTGAGTAGATAAGGAATCACAAAAAAGTCATCGAAATGAGAAATAAATGGATTGAGGAAGTGAAGACAGCAAAAAAAAGCACCATAATAAATGTCAATCAGAGAGGTCAGAAGAGTGCCAGTCTAGACTCCATTCATTATATCAAATATATTCCACAAAACAGAATGAAAAAAATGACTACACACCCTTTGTGGTGTAAAATGGCATTAGAGGATGATGATGATGGTGAAAAAAGTTACCTGCAAATGTTTTACCATCTTGTCCAGGCTACCAATAGCAATTGTATGCATGATCTTCTGACCTCAAGGGAAAGTAGAGACAAACACATGATCATTCTAATCATCCGAAGAAGCTTCCATGAAGGCAAAGCCAACAAATAATACTCTAGTTCTGCGATCTCCCAATGTACTGTCCTTTCCTCCGTATAAGTGCCTAACTATACTTACATATACAGGGACTCCAATCCAACAAGGGCTATACCTTTCAGTCAAATACAGTGTGGTGATTTGCCAGGATTTCCCCAAGAGAGCAGGCTGATCACTGAATATGGCTCTAATAATTCACTTAGCTAAATGTATTGCTCGTTTCCTGAGTCAGGGTCTTAGTTATTAACAACTGCCTTGCAGATCACAATAAGCAGTGGTTGGACAACAATGGCAGATGGATCTGAACAGCAAAACTAGTTACTGACAACCTGAACAGATGGACTTCTTTTAGTTATATACCAGGCATACAATACAAAAGTTGTGGTTGGGACAAATTCTCACCACCAGTATGTATGGCAATTCTCTGTTGAGTGAATGAGTAACAAAACATTCCAATAATGTGGTTTCAACGGAATTCTGGTTTGTGTGTCATCCTTGCCATGGTGGAGGAGCCTGTGTTTCTCAGTGTGGATATCAGGTGTTTGTAGACTATTTTTTTTTATGTACCTTGATGAGGTTGACTGCCTGTGTCTGCAGATGTGAGAGGTTGGTGTGCTAACTGCTTGACCGTTTTCCCCCTGTCTGTGTTGACTAATTCACAGAATATAACAAAAGACAGCACTACCTGCGCATAAGAGTTATTTCCCCTACAGAAAGCATCTTCCACTGATGGCGCTGGTAGTCCCTGGTCAGCACTAGCAAAAGTAACTGTTGCTGCCAACGAGGCCTGTTGGTCCTTGCTAGTGAACTTTTGACCTAGAATGACATAATTCATACAATAATCAAAACACATTTATACTCATAAATTACACGACTTGAAAAATATGGAAGGGCAGAGCCTAGAAAGCCTGCAGGCCAGTCAAAGTCACTAACAGTGAGCAAAGTGACCGTCACATAACCGCTGTCTTTTTAATGGACAAGTGGCCGTGTTGTTGCAATGAAGTAAATATGAGAATTATTTATGCTTCATTTTTTTATCTCCGCTGAACTGCATCAACAGTTAAAAAAATGATGTCTAGGGAAATCCCTGGATTCTTAAGATAACATACTCTAAGAGTTGAAGTTCAAGGTAGCAAATCAGGTGGTGGACCAGCAACCATGCTTCCATAAGATCTGCAAGTGTGTCAAGTTTACCCAATAAATGTCCAACAGTTATCATCATAGTGCTCATTCTATACAATCTCTTCATGAAGGAGCAGTCAGATTTGGAAAATGTCATCCCAAAAATATACAGCCAATCAAAGAGACATTAGACAATTGTATTACAAGCAACAAAATATGATTGGAGGAAAACTGTAAAGAAACAGAAACACAAAAAAATATGAATTTTAAATTAACCCACATCTTTCCATTTTAGTTGAGACAAACCACATGTTTATAGGTTTGTCTCAAGTGAAGTTACATCAATATTTAATTACAATCGTAATGATTATCTTTCAACACATGAATAAGGTTATCTATAAAGTACACTTGATACCTATGTTCCAAATTAACACTTTCTTGCTGGAGGACAAAGACACTGAGCCTTGTGTCGGTGTTCCATCCACATTTGATATCTTGTCTCTGGTGAGGAATAACATACTTCTTTTATGTACTTATCAACATCTGCATTCCCCCCCCCCCCCCCCCTTTCCCCCCCAATATATAAAGAAATATAAAAAGGTAATAAAAAAAACTGAACAGAGTAAAACACTAAAATGGAATACAGTAACTTGCAGCATTAAAAGAAAATATTCATATATTGGGTGACCCACCCGTGACCTCTTCACTGAGGGTATAGGAAGATTTGACATCAACTTGGCTTTCAAAGCCTCTGAGATCATAAGGAAACCCTCTAACTGCTGTTTTTAGTTGCTTTATTCATATCCTGCCTATTAAACACTGTGCGGGTAGAAGGATCAATGGAATGTAACTACATTTTTTGAGAACAGGTCAAGTGGCACAATAGGGACTCAGCACAAGGAAAACAATGGTGACAGACAAAGACAAATTTGAATAATTGTTTTCAATTCATTTGAGAACAAATGACCATACATTTTACTAACAAGCAAAATATTTGAAGGTTCACTGGATCAATATTTTGCCAGTGCCACAGTCAATTACAGGTTGTATCATGAAACCAATTACTGTCAGTCTGAGAGTGGATTAGAAGGTAGTTAATTAAACGAATCCCTGTCAGTCTGAGAGTGGATTAGACGGTAGTTAATTAAACCAATCACTGTCAGTCTGAAAGTGGATTAGAAGGTAGTTAATTAAACCAATCACTGCCAGTCTGAAAGTGGATTAGACGGTAGTTAATTAAACCAATCACTGTCAGTCTGAAAGTGGATTAGAAGGTAGTTAATTAAAATAATCACTGTCAGTCTGAAAGTGGATTAGAAGGTAGTTAATTAAACCAATCACTGCCAGTCTGAAAGTGGATTAGATGGTAGTTAATTAAAATAATCACTGTCAGTCTGAAAGTGGATTAGAAGGTAGTTAATAAAACCAATCACTGCCAGTCTGAGAGTGGATTAGATGGTAGTTAATTAAACCAATCACTGTCAGTCTGAGAGTGGATTAGATGGTAGTTAATTAAACCAATCACTGCCAGTCTGAGAGTGGATTAGACGGTAGTTAATTAAACCAATCATATATCAGTCCAACTCCGCTAAGACCGGTCCCAAGCCCGGCTGTAAAAGGAGGAGGGTCTGGCTGAACCTGAGTGCTTCATGCGTCTCCGGAAGTAGTGGGTAACCGTGAATCAGCCAGACGGCCTGCATGGAGGCCGCAAGGAGGCAGCCCCTCCACCATGCAAAGGCACAACAGGCCAATCACCTGTTTGCCTTAAACCACGATTACAAGTAACTACAGAGAGAAAACCGGACGGATCTTAACGGCGACGAACTGGCATGGCTTACGATCTACGATTTATGGAACATGGAACATAAGAGGCATTAACGGAAAGGAAAACGAGTTAGTAGGGGAGATGAGGAAAGCAAAATTAGGAGTCTTGGCTCTGACTGAAACCAAGAAAAAGGGGCAAGGAATCACAGATCACGATGGAAGTATGCTGCTCTACAGTGGTGTCCCTATGACGGAGAGAGCCAAGGGAGGTGTTGGCTGTATTGTGGCCAGGAATCAAGTTAGTAACATCAAGGGATGGAAATTCATCTCAGAGCGAATAATGGTGTTAGATCTGAAAGAAGAAGATAAAATTGTCAATTTTGTCATTTTGTACGGGCCAAATGAAGATGAGCGAGTAGATGTTAAAGAAGAATTCTTTGAACTGCTCCAAAGGACCATAGATGACTGTCACGATGAAATTATCCTCCTAGGAGATCTAAATGCCAGAGTAGGAAATGATCACTCTAGATGGGGCGGAGTGATCGGGAGATATGGTGAAGATGTTTTGAATGATAATGGCAAGCGACTTCTCAGATTCTGCAGGGAACAGAACCTTGTCATTACAAACACAAAATTCCCCCATAAGCGTATACATGCATACACAAGATGTGAACCTTCAAAGAATGAAAAATCCATCATTGACTACGCCATAGTTAGGAAAAGTTCATTCAAGTTTGTGAGAGATGCCAGAGTCATGAGAGGACCAGAGATTGGAAGTGACCACTATCTGGTCACAATAAAGAGAACAACTGAAAGAACTGCTCCAACAAGGCAACACCGACAACCATGCAAGAAACCAAGCAACCAAGAAGGGATGAGGATTAAAGCATACAAGCTAAGAGAGCCAGATATTAAGGCTAGATACCAGGAGCTTATAGTGAAAGCAATAGGAACTGAAGAAGAATCATCAGAGGACACTGAAACCCTCTGGTGCAGATTCAAGAATATCCTCACAGCAGCTGCAGTAGAAGCATGTGGTGAAGTCCCAAGTGGAAGGCGGGGACACAGGACACCTTGGTGGACAGAAGAAGTCAAATTGAAAATAGGAGAAAAGAAAAGGGCATGGAAGCAATACCTGGCAGCCAGAAACACAGCTGAAGAAATAGAAAAATATAAACAATATGTGGCAATCAGAACAGAGACCAAAAATATTGTGCTTAAAGCAAAACAGAAATCATGGGAAGAGTTTGGAGAAAAGTTGGAAAAGAATGGTAGAGAAAACCAAAAACTGTTCTACAAGACCCTTAAGAACATGAGGAAGGAGAAAGAGTGCCCACTTAAATTCATAAAAGACAAGGAAGGGGCTCTGCTTACTTCTACAAATGATATCATGGGCAGATGGAAAGAATACTTCTCAGAGCTCCTCGGCGTTGAGGGAAGTCATGACCCAGAAATAATGGACCTCACTGCTGAGAAGGAATTCAATCATGGGGAAGATAACATCAGGTTGGAAGAATTGAAGGCAGCTATTGAGAAGATTAAGCTGGGAAAAGCAGCAGGTCATGATGGTATAACACCAGAGATGGTCAAAATATATGGGAGTCAAAGGTGAGCGCCTTTCTACTGAAGGTTCTCCAGGCAGCCTGGTGTAGCAAAAAAACTATACCAAAAGATTGGAAGATTGCCATCATTATACCTATATTTAAAAAAGGTGATACCAGACAATGTGAAAACCACAGAGGCATATCCCTCCTCAGCGTTCCTGGTAACAATTACTCGAGCAGAGACTTAGAAGTCTGGTAGAGCCACAGCTGGATGAGGCCAAAAGCGGCTTCAGAGCAAACCGAAGTACTCAAGACCTTATCTTCACACTGAGACAGATGAGTGAAAAAGCCATTGAATATATGAGTGAGATGCACCTATGTTTTTGGATCTGGAAAAGGCATTTGACAAGGTAACCTGGAACAAGCTCTGGGGCTGCTTGGCAGGGAAAAACATTCCAGCACCCCTGATCAGTGCAATACAGAGTTTCTACAAAAGCTGCAGAAATTATGTAAGAACAGCAGACCAAAACTCAGAAGAATTCAAGACTGCCAGCGGTGTTAGACAAGGTGATATTCTCTCACCTTACCTCTTCATTCTTATGATGGATGATGTCATCAAGACCTGTAAGGAGAAGACAAAGAAGTACTCTGTAGGGTACTGGAAGATGAGACCAATCTGTATATCAGAGCTGGCTTTTGCAGACGATGTGGCCCTGATAGCTAAATCAGAGGCACACCTTCAGTCCAACTTACTTGTCTGGAAGGAAGAGCTTGAAAAGAAAGGGATGACCATCAGTGTCCCCAAAACTAAAACCATGGTGATCTCAAGAGAGGAGAAGAAACACCAGATCATGATGGGACAGTATGTGTTGGAGCAGGTTAACCAGTTCAAATACCTTGGAGTTGTACTAGACCAAAATGGAGGCATTAAGACTGAGCTGGCTACACGAAAAGCAGCTGCTGGGAGACTCTTCCAGGCCATAAACCGAGGGTTTCTTAGCAAAAGAGAAATTGGCAAGAGGACGAAAATGGCTGTTACCGCTCTACCTATGTACCAGTCCTGACCTATGGGTGTGAGTCATGGGCAATGACACAGCAGCTCACAGAAGCCAGCTGCAGGCCTCGGAAATGAGATACCTGAGAAAGGTGGTCCAAGTGACAAGAAGGGACAAAGTCCGCAATCAGACAATAAGTCAAGATCTTGATACCCAGCCCTTAGTAACCCAAGTAGATCAGTCACAGTTACGATGGTTTGGACATGTATGCAGAATGGGAGAAAATCGACCACCATGGCAAGCATGGGAGGCTAAGAACCAGGGAACCAGACCTCCGGGACGACCCAGGGTGCGCTGGGAAGACAACATCCGACAGTCCCTAACTGACAGAGGACTGGAATGGAACAAAGCCAGAAAGAAAAATGCTGATAGAGACGTCTGGCGATCTCTCTGGCAAACCTCTACACCCCAAGGTTGAAGAGGAGCGACTAAGTAAGTAAGTACTAAGTAAGTATATATCAGTTCTAGTGTGGATTAGGAGGATTTTAATTCAACCAATCATTCATCAGTCCAGGACTAATCAAAGAGACCATTCTTTAAACCAGAGTACATAAACATCTTCTACAGTGTCAGTACATAAACATCTTCTACAGTGTCAGTACAGAAACATCTTCTACAGTGTCAGTACAGAAACATCTTCTACAGTGTCAGTACAGAAACATCTTCTACAGTGTCAGTACAGAAACATCTTCTACAGTGTCAGTACATAAACATCTTCTACAGTGTCAGTACAGAAACATCTTCTGCGTGTCAGTACCGAAACATCTTCTACAGTGTCAGTACAGAAACATCTTCTACAGTTTCAGTGCAGAAACTAACTCCTGATCAGCAAAAATTAGCTAGACTTGATATTTGTGCAGCACATTTTTGCAACCAATAAAAGAAAGCATTACTTCTACAAATATAATAAGCAGGAAAATGTGCATCACCTTGTGTAAAATGGGATGTGCAATTCACAAACTTCAAAGTTGTTCTTTATTTGATCATTCAGTTTCAGCTGTACTGTTATAGAAGCTTTTGTATCATCCAGCTGGGTAAAAATATACAATAATTTAAGTAATAAAGAACAAAATGAAGAAGTAATTTATAACATAATCAAAGAGGAATACTATAACAAAATCAGAGAAAGGTAATGGAGAACATAATCAGAGAGAAGTAACACTCAATATAATCAAGGAGAGGTCAAACACAACATAATTAAAGAGAGGTGATACAACATTATCAAAGAGATAACACAAAACATAATCAGAGATATTAATACAACATAGTCAAAGAGATATAAATAATATATAATCAACAACAATAAATAAGATAGCATAAAACTTAATCACAGAAGTTTAATCATCATCAAGTGCTATGCCAACTGGCATAGGCAATCATGCCTTTCCACAATCTGTGATTTGCATCTGCATGTATCAGTTTGAGTGTTGTCACCCCTCCATCCCATGACAAAAGGCTTTCAAGAATCTTCTAGCGTTGTCTTTCTCTGTCTCTTTTTCTGCACATTTTTTAGTGGTTACAACATGTTCCAGTTTCCGTCTTCTCATAACATGACCAAAAAACTGTCTTTTTTTTTTTAGGTTTGTAATAAGTTGTCTTTGAGCCCTCGAGTCTTTCAAAACATCTGGGTTGCTCTTTTTTGGCTGTCCAAGGAATTCTAAGGATTCTTCTGTAAACCACACTTCTGAGATCTTGAGAAATTCTTCTTCTTCTTATTCTCCCTTACGTCCTCTTTTACCACTTTGGGTGTGGAGTGAGAAATGAGGTCCTGCTGCATGTTTTTCTGGTTGCTTTGATCATAAAAACATCGTGGTACTGTAGAGTTTCTCTGATGTTATCTTTCCATTTGTTCTTGGTCTACCTCTCGCTCTACGTCCCTCGCCTCCTTTGGTATATGCCTTGAATGGTATAGCATCAGCAGGCATTCTCTCCAAATGGGCAAACCATTTGATTTGCTGTCTTTGACTGTAATTTAGAATTGGTTCTGTGCCGACTTGATCTCGTATGACCTCATTCCTGATCTAATCTCTTCTGGTCACTCCTACAGTCTTTCTCAGACACCTCATTTCCATAAGGTGGGAATGAATATGCTTTGTATGAGATGTCTGTGCTGATTGTGATTGCTTTATGTTGTAAGAGGGAAGCTAGTTGTCCCAATACTTGGCCTGCTTTGCTGCATTGGATGTTTATTTTTTCGCTCAGTTTACCATCTTCAGTGAATGTTGTTCCAAGATATTTAAACAGATACCTGTCTAATATATGTATGCTGTAATGCAATGTTTAAATCCTGCTTCTTTCTTCCTATTGAGATGACTCCTGACTAGTTGATGTTGATTCTCGTGTTATTTGATTTACATTCTTCCTTCATGGATGTGAGATGCTGTTGCAAATTCATGGCTGTATCTGCAATCAAGGCCTGGTCATCAGTAAAGAGTAATTCGTTGATGTTACTATTATCTTCGTTCCTGGGCCTGGCATCCTTGCTTATACTGTCAGTGTAGGTGATAAACAGGAACGGTGATAAGACACCTCCCTGTCTCACTCCAGATGTTACTCTGAATGGTTTAGATGTTCCCTAATTTATTCTAATTACACTTCTACAATCGCTATATAAGCTAGTGCAAACTTCAAAGAGGTGTTCACTTATTCCATATCGAGCAATTACTTTCCATAATTTTTGTCTATCGACCCTGTCAAAAGCTTTCTCCTGGTCTACAAATGCTACAAAAAGGTTCTGATCACATTCGATGTTTTTTTCTATTAACTGTTTAAGTGTGAAGATGCCTGGCTCTCTAGCGTAGTTGGCTAAACCGGATTGCGCGGTGACCGGATGATGAACTCCTTGTGGTCCGGGTTCACTCCCGGGGGTAGGCAGAAAAGCCACATTTCTCCCAGATTTACAGTATTTATCATGGAATCAAGGCCGAAAGGTTGCGATATCCATAATGCCGAGCCTAAAGGTTAACAATTCATGGCTTCTGGATATTAAAACAAACAAACAAGTGTGAAGATTGCGTCTGTGCAGCTTCTATTTCTTCTGAAACCCATCTGTTCTTCTGTCAACTGTGGTTCTATCACTGGTCACAGCCTTATTTTTATTATCTTAGCAAACATTTTACCAACAGGACTTGAAAGAGAGATGCCTTGATATTGATTGCATTCTCACTTGGGCCCCTTGTTCTTCCACAGTGGTACAACTATTGCATGTTGCCAGTCAATGGGAGCAGTTTGTTGTACCCATGCCATATTGAATATTTATGAAGCTATCTAATGTATCTATTGCTTGAATTATGTCTGTTGGTAGTCTATCAGCACCTGGTGCTTTATATTGGGTGACTGCTTAATTACTTTAACTACTTCAGAAATTTTTTAGATTGTTTATTAACTGTCCAGGATTTTCACAGCCATATGTTTAAACTCACTCTATACAGCATGTGAGAATTCTTTTCGTAACCTCCAATGAATGGAATAATCGCATATAATATTTTTCATTTTATAAAATGCAGTTTCGGCCTTTCCTGTTCTGTTCTATATCTCTGTCATATATCTTCCGTCGGATGTTATCCATGATCCTAGATATTTAAATTTCTATACTTGCCCAAAACTAATGACTTTGACTTTGACGGTACATTAAGGCACTGTTCTTTTCTTTGATATTACCATTACTTCTGTCCGCCCATCAATCAAACTGCAGCCCATTTAATCACTTTCTACTACAACAGTATCTATCAATCCCTCTAGTTCTTTCTGATCTGTGGCAATCAAGACGTCATCAGCAAAATGCAGGTTGTTTATGTTGTGACCACCAGCCACAGGTCCTGGCATTTCCGTGATAGATCTCATTATATATTCACTGTATAATTTTTAAAAAAAATTTAAAAATCAGTTGATAGCAGACATCCTTATCGCACTCCCCTCCTTATGAAGCCTTCAAGACAAGCCCATGTAACCTCCCTCTCCCTCCTAAACAGTCAGTAAAAAGCCTCGATACTGATGATACCCGTTGTCATCTGGTTAAGTTTACTTCTCTTGACTTTTTCACAATTCTCGAATGGCATCCAGAGCCAACAAACAATCCCCGCTACATCATTCTCTCCAAGAATCGGTTTTCATCATTTTAAATTTTACTAGTTACCTCGTACAAAAGGCGGGTGATCACCTCTACCTTCTGCAGTCAAAGTACACCCCCAAGTGTGGCCAGTCGTACCACAGGCAAGAGATCACCTCTACCATCTGCAGTGAAAGTACACCACTTAGTGTGGTCAGTCGTACCACAGGCAAGAGATCACCTCAACCTTCTGCAGTCAAAAGTACATCCCCAAGTGTGGCCAGTCATATTACAGGCAAGAGATCACCTCTACCTTCTGCAGTCAAAGTACACCCCTAAGTGTGGCCAGTTGTACCACAGACAAGAGATCACCTCTACCTTCTGCAGTCAAAGTACACCACTTAGTGTGGTCAGTCGTACCACAGGCAAGAGATCACCTCAACCTTCTGCAGTCAAAAGTACATCCCCAAGTGTGGCCAGTCATATTACAGGCAAGAGATCACCTCTACCTTCTGCAGTCAAAGTACACCCCTAAGTGTGGCCAGTCGTACCACAGACAAGAGATCACCTCTACCTTCTGCAGTCAAAGTACACCCCTAAGTGTGGCCAGTCGTACCACAGACAAGAGATCACCTCTACCTTCTGCAGTCAAAGTAAACACCCCCAAGTTTTGGCCAGTCGTACCACAGGTGAGAGATCACCTTTACCTTCTGCAGTCAAAAGTACACCCCCAAGTTTGGCCAGTTGTACCATAGGCAAGAGATCGTCTCTACCATCTGCGGTGAAAGTACACTACCAAGTGTAGCTAGTCGTACCACAGACAAGAGATCACTTCTACCTCCTGCAGTCAAAAGTACACCACCAAGTTTGGCCAGTCCAGCCAACACGTGTGCCTGCTCATTCCCAAACATGCCTAAACAGCCCAGGCAAAATATCCATGACTCTCACCAACTGTGACCTCTGGACTGATGGTTCTAGCATGGTCAAGTTATGTAAGTACATTTTTATTTAAATGCCATTCTGCTGTATTTTACAGCTTTCTGAAATTCAAAATAATCTTTGTGTGAATGTCTTTATGGCAGAGTAAAGTAAAGGATCCTTTTCCACGCCTACAGGCAAATAGGGCTAGACCTATATTTTATAGACCAATTGGCACAAGATGGGTGATGTAATCAGCATCATGCCAGCCGCCTTTACTTCCCAGGACTGCATCCGGTACCCACTCAAGGCTGGGCGGCCTGAAAGCCAAGGTCATTTTTGAAAAAAGTCCGGCTCGGCCATAGAGCGAACCCACTACCTTGCGATCCGCGGCAAGCGAATTTTTTTAACAGCTGGTGCCATCTTTACAATGAACGTTTTCTGCTGTGTATTTGTACCCCTAGTGCTGTCTTTAGGAATATTATGAGGTGGGACCACAAACTCTTCCACAGCATGATTCTTGTACAATAGTCCTAAAAGCTATGCAAAAATCACACTTTGGTCTGCTTTTCTAACCTCAAAGTCAAAGAGCTGCACTAAATACAAACTGGCAGAATGCTCCCAAACAGTCAATGTAAAAACTCAAGAACACAGGCAGGACACATTGGACATACTTTCAAATGATATACTCCAAATATTGGCAGCTCCAAGAGACGTTTGACTGTGTAAGTACATAAAGTAAAATGTTCCAAAGGGGGAGAGAATCTCACTCTTCGAGATGCACTGTGAGAAGTTGCATTTGCTAGATCTGAAAATAAAACAACAACAAAAATAGGAAGAAGAAGAAAGGTAGATGTCTGGCATACAAGGATGCACAATTACAAAATGTCCAGCAGGAGGGTTGAACACGAGACCTTCTGATTGTAAGGCAGATGTGATACCAACTACTTTAAACTATCATATGTAGCAACCAGCAAAAATAAGACCAGTATTGTACTATGTGATAGACTGACACATGCAAACAGTTCTTGCTCCAGTGTTCATTAATTCTGAGTGTCTTTGTTCTTGGCGCCTAAATGCACTTGTCCAAGTTTTTAAATGTATGTTAATGGAATAATTAGATATAAATGTAGCTAATGTGTCTTGCCCTTTGAAAAAAAGTCTATAGAAATCTGTAGAGAAAGTCAAAAAACATGTTTCTACGTCCATAGCACTGGAGGTCAAGAAAAAAAATAACATCTAAAGATGGGTGTAGCAGTGTATGGGGAAAACATGTCGATAGCAGGGAAAGGGTTAAGGTGCACATGTGACCAATAGAATTTAACTAGGCTTTTCGAGAACAGGTCACTGCAGACATGGCCATATACCAGGGACATGGCACAACTGGACGCAGCTACATTTAGGCTTCTCTAGGCGAACATGTTAATGCTCATGTAAAATGCAAATGTTCAAGTGCTACCAGGGCCCATAGAGGAATCGAATAATAGTTACAATGAAATATACCAAGCATGTCGTAAGAGATGACTAAGGAGGGTTGGTATGGTTACCTCATCCTATATAAAACTTTAGCTGTATGATGGAACCAAACCCAAAAAATGTCAAGAAGTTGCTGTGCATGTATTGGTTGAGAGCATATTAAGCATAACAGACAGAAGAAGCAGTTAAGGAAAAATTAACTAGAACCAATAATGGATAGTGTAGGATGTCAGCAGCTATAACCGCCTACCATGATCCTGCCAATCAGCTCTCTCCATACAAGGGTGCACAGTCAGCATATCCAGGGGTATGCTCAGGCCGTCTCCTTGGTTGGCAATGTTCAGTGTTATGTTGACTCCAGCACCTTCAAACTCAGCCTTGCAGGTCACCTCTCCATACACCTGAGAAATGTCTTGCCAGGTTTCTTGTGCACACTATATTAGGAAAATACAGAAAAGGAGTATTAAAGCTAAGAGGACTCTTTTCACTGCATCAGGTTTCATCTCACACAGCTCAGTCTCACACAGGAGAAAGGCTAGTCACTGAAAGTATTACACAAACCAAAAAAAAAAACCATAACACCAGCGATCGGCCCATCCTCAGGGATTCACAAAATAGCTGTGAATCAAAGATCGGGGTTAAAAAAACAAACAAACAAGGACCTTCATAGTGCAAGGCAAAACTGTTCAATTCCTTTACCACAGATCCCCTTGTGTGGTTTTTAACCTTTGACCTGTCAGACATGTAGGGCCCTACCAGCAGATATGCTACTGTCAGCATATCTCTCTGAGTCACTGGAACTCAGAAGTCTCTCATCACACCAAGGTGGAGACACATCAGAGGGCTTTTCATATACATAATCACCTCTTGATTTTCCTCCTCTGCTCCAAATCTCAACCAACAGGATTTTGAAAACAATGTTTTCTCACTGTGAATTTGATAATACAGACACAAACAATAAGTGACACAATTTACTGCCTGGCATATTTTGCTGCCTGTCTCATTTGGCTGTTGGTGAGTGTAACAAGAGACAATGTGATCTGTATTTTTCAGCTGAAAGGATTCATTTTTTATACTTTATTTTAGACTGGTGTGAGAAGGGACGCCCAAAAAACAACATGTAGATGAACGATGGAAAGTGAACTGAGTGATGCGTCTCTGATATGCAAAACCTCACTGAAGATTGTACAGGGCAGGAAGGCATGTGAAGTCCTCTTTGAAGACTCATGTGCCACTAGGCATAAAAAGAAGTGATAGGCTGATGTCACTATGTAAGGAATGCACCTAATGAAATACTGCAAAATTTGCCAGTCAATCAATTGTGCTATGTAATAAGATGACCATCAAACAAAGAGATCATAACATTCCCTGGAAACTGTGCAAACATTTCACCCACTAGCAGACATGCCATTCCCTGGAAACTGTAAACATTTCACCCACTAGCAGACATGCCATTCCTTGGAAACTGTAAACATTTCACCCACCAGCAGTCATGCCATTCCCTGGAAACTGTAAACATTTTACCCACCAGCAGACATGCCATTCCCTGGAAACTGTGCAAACATTTCACCCCCTTAGCAGACATGCCATTCCCTGGAAACTTTAAACATTTCACCCACCAGCAGACATGCCATTCCCTGGAAACTGTGCAAACATTTCACCCACTAGCAGACATGCCATTCCCTGGAAACTATAAACATTTCACCCACTAGCAGACATGCCATTCCCTGGAAACTATAAATATTTCACCCACTAGCAGACATGCCATTCCCTGGAAACTATAAACATTTCACCCACTAGCAGACATGCCATTCCTTGGAAACTGTAAACATTTCACCCACTAGCAGACATGCCATTCCCTGGAAACTGGAAACATTTCACCCCCTTAGCAGACATGCCATTCCCTGGAAACTATAAACATTTCACCCACTAGCAGACATGCCATTCCTTGGAAACTGTAAACATTTCACCCACTAGCAGACATGCCATTCCCTGGAAACTGGAAATATTTCACCCACTAGCAGACATGCCATTCCCTGGAAACTATAAATATTTCACCCACTAGCAGACATGTCATTCCCTGAAAACTGTAAACATTTCACCCACTAGCAGACATGTCATTCCCTGAAAACTGTAAACATTTCACCCACTAGCAGACATGCCATTCCCTGGAAACTGGAAACATTTCACCCACTAGCAGACATGCCATTCCCTGGAAACTATAAACATTTCACCCACTAGCAGACATGCCATTCCCTATAGACATACCTGGGAGGCATTGATGTACTCGGTGACACAAACTTGCAAGGATGACTTCCCCTTGTAGCCTGCAGACCTCCATGCTGCTACCTAAGACGATACATGTCAACTAGAAGTAAAACTAAACAATTCATTTCTATACCTCGAGGGTACTAAACATATGATGTTAACATATTAGGATTGCTCACAGTATATCCCACATTCTGTAAACAAAATAATAATAATGTTAATCTTAGTCTCAGTATTTTTATCTCTATATGTGACAAGTATGAGATATCTCAAAGACCTATAATTAGCCTTCATACTGTCAAGTACCATGTCAAATTAAATTCTATCTTGTAGTCTATAAAACATACAAAGGATGTATCACAGGGCAAAGGTGCATGGAACTCAGATCAGGGTGGATCCACCCCTGGTAAGTGTGATACTTTGTGAGTTGTTTGAGGCTCTTGATGGCTCAGAGGTTACGCCAATAGCTTCAGACTCTGAAGGTTATGAGTTTGTTTTGTGGACGGTGTTGTCTAGTTCATGAGTGCAATTTTTTATGGAGATTCCTGGGAGTTGCATTGAAGCTTGAATCCATGCTCTGTGGAACACTTTTGCCGGGTACCTATTTTGCAGAGAGAGACTGAGCCACATGGAATAAAACCTGGTGCAACAAAAAAAAAGCCCTTTCTACTTTAAACTCTAAACTCCTGAAACACTCTATAGACATTTAAAGAGTACTGCAGCTATTCTCGGACATCTGATGTCTGTGAAGAACTGCCGGAGTGACCAAACAAGATCAAATCAAGAATGAGGTCATGAGAGAAAAATTCAACATGGAAGCAATCCTAAATTACATAGAAAGACAACAAAACAAATGGTTTGCCCACTTCGATAGAATGCCATGTGACGCTATACTGTACAAGGTATACACTAAAAAGAGGAGAAGGATGCAGTACACAAGGTTAACCAAGTACAAGTTAGTAAGATAACATCAGAGAAACTCTACAACAGCATGATTTGTCTACAGTAGAGACGGTCAGAAGAGCAAGAGGAAGAACCTTATATTTCCCTCAACACTGAAGTGATACAAAAGGAGGTGAAGAAGAAGAATAATAATAAGAAGAAGAAGAAGAAGAAGAAGAAGAAGAAGAAGAAGAAGAAGAAGAAGAAGAAGAAGAAGAAGAAGAAGAAGAAGAAGAAGAAGAAGAAGAAGAAGAAGAAGAAGAAAAAGAAGACTGGAGATTTGTGCTTGTAAACATGACGAGAGAATGAGAAACTATGTAAATCAGAGACAATCACACACCTTGTGGGATTTGGTCACCATACAGGGTTTGTTGGCCAGGCGGGCACAGAGATTGTCTACAGAACCATCTCTCACCAAGCCGAATGGTGCAACCTCATTTATGAATGATGGTAACTCCAAAAGTCTATTTGGCATCTGTTATAGATGATGTTAAGATGAATATGGAAGATATTGGACTTTTTTATGTTACAAGAATCTTTAAAGTCACAAAACATTTACATAGGAAAGCTACCAAAATAATGTCAAAATTAACTGCAAGCAAAAAAATGCATAATTTTGTTATTTGGGCATTCAAAAACCCATCATAAAGCAATGCATGCAATACAAGTGATACAAGGTGCATAAGTTTCAAAACCAATTCAAAAAACTGAAAACAAAAACATGTTATCTTCCTAAGCTGTCTTCTGTTGATATAGCTGTCATTGCATCTGTGACGAAACGAACTCAGTGGTTTCAAAAGTTAGTACTTTTAATAATTTCTTCTGGTTATAGAGAGACAGAGAATTATATTTACTATGCCCTAAGCCCGAATCAAGTACTAAAACCACAAGGATTTAATTGTTTCCAGTCCTTAGCCCAGACAAAGCAACTGAGCTTTGTTTAAATATTACCTAACATTACGTAATACAAGCCCGCTGGTCTACCTGGGAAAGTTACGACTTAGTGGCGGTAATGTTTGATTGTAGAGCCAGTGTCATATAATTATCTCCCATGAACCCGACTTAGTGTCATAAATGTTATATAACACAGACTGAGTAGGGTCTTTGAACAGAGCAGATCAGGGGAATTAACCTGGTCTGGTAGACAACTCCAGACATGACGGCGTCCACTGGCTGGCGTTTCACACCTGCCAGTTAAAGTGGCTGGAGAACAGATGTTTACCAATTAAGAATGTGTGATCTTGGAAAGGCTGTTCACTATGATTGACAGGCTCATTGATAGCTATTTTGATCTGCAAGGTACATCAGGGGCGTGGCTTAGATCATCTCCTGGAGGGTAGGGTAGAACCTAGGAAAGGGAGGAGTTTAATTTGGACAATAGTTTGATACTTATACTGCGAACATTTTAGATTTACCTTATAGTGCCACCAGCAAAGCCACAAACTCAGACCTACAATAGAAAATATTTCTCACTGGTTGAGTCTTGTTTGGCAATTACTGGAACGTTTCCAGGTATGAGTGTATATTATTTTTAATCTTTTATTCATAGGTTAGGAGCTAGCTTAGGCTATACTTCCTTTCCTTATTTTTCTACACATTCTGCCTGAAATAGTTCATGGTTAGTATTCAGTTATCTCTGTTAGGGAACTGCTAAACTATTCCTATTTCTTGCATGTTTGTGTCACATGTTTTTCAGTGTATGTTTTCATGTGTATAGAATAAGATGTGAACAATGACATTTGCTATAATGAAATGTAATTATATAGTTTCAATTACCAACCCAAACATGTGCTAGGACTGTGAGAAAATCATGCCCATATGTGCAGCAATGTGGTTGCGTTTTAATAGCTCACCATGTGCTCACTGGAAAGACAATATTCCAGATATGTCCATATAAAATGGTTTGAGTTTTCAGCACAAAACCTGCTCCATGTGTTCATGTAAAAATAATGTCAGCCAGTTTGGAAGTCTGAGTGAAGATGGACAGCAGACTTAGGAAGTCTACTATCATGACAGTACATGAGAGGGAAGGCAGGATATGTGACGTCAATGTAAGACATAAGACCTTCAGACTGACTGGAGAGAATGTTGAAGATTGAGGAGGAGAGATGTTATGTCTATACATATATATATATATATATTGTATTAATATATGCATGCTTAGTGTAAGTTATAGATACTACACATATGTCTTTGTTTCACAGCTCCCGTCGGGGTGAAGACGTCTGCTCTGATAGAACTAGACGTCCCATGCATGAACCAACGTTGTTGGAGATCGGCAAGCTGGAAACAGGCGGGAAACAGGTGGAGAATAAGCCAAAACAGACAGAGAAGGAGGTGGAAGAGCTTGACAGTGCCTCACGGCTGTCAGAGGTTCTATAACATTATAAGTTATGTCCCAACATTGTTCGTAAACTTATCACCATCATCACACCACTCTAACCCCAGGTGCTCAGTTTGTAGCTGAAGCATCGCATCACTATCATATCATTAGCCAGTCACTGTTTGTGTAAACACAACACACTGGCGAATTTCATTTAACCAATTGTTAGTAAATAAAGCTGTATTTCAAGTTTTATACTACATCATTTGTTAAATTCCAGTTAGATAAAAATTACATTTGGTGGGGGCTCATTAATAATTATATACCAGGAGAGGAGAAAGTCGGAGGGGTTAACTGTGTATCTTGATATTTTCTCATTGAGTTCATCTTGATTATCTATCCCTTCTCCTACTCTTGTGGATACCAGTGCAGCTGTTGTGTATTTACATGACGAGCCAAATATGGCTGTTTTCTTGGATATCCAGGACTTTGTCTGAGATCAACATAGCTCAGATAATAGTCTAGTTTCTCACGTGGGTGGGCACTGTTAGGGTTCAAACCCACACACTCACTATATAAGTGTATTTACCCACGTGGGCTCGCGACAGCCTCTGGTCTGCTGTAAAATATGGCATGATTTCGGTTGGATAAGTGCCAAGGGTGAAATATTATTTCTCTGTATATGTGATCCTGTAGAGAAGACTCAATATTTGGCTAAAGTGAAGCTAACATGGAATTCAACATCTAACATTCATTAAGTCTTTCCTCCTCTAGCAGCAGCTTGACCTCACCTTGTTCAGTTAAAGGCTGGGATGTTACTGCTTCACTATGCATTTGCCAAATATTCTTCTTCTTCTTCCCTGCAATCACCAGCTGTCAAATCCAGGGTAAAGTTCTTTTTTTTTCATCCACTTCTGGACTTATTTTTATGCAGACGGTTTCTTGCCTCTTGGGCAAATGCACTTCCACTTTAAAGGAAATTAGTTGCATCCTATGACATGCTAGTAGAGGTTGGGGGAAGGGGGACAGCAGGCCTATTCTTTTTTGAACTTAAATGGGGCCCTGGAATCCACATGGGATGAACAAAATTCAATGAAACCAATCAAACTGTCCAAATTCTTGCACTAATTTTCTGTTATTCATTAACAGAGTGACACATTAGACACCAAACAGGAACTCAACTGACCATCAACTCTTAACGCAGACACTTGTCTGACTAATGAGGAGAGGAATGACTAGGATCTGCAGAGAAACTCTAAAGGAGTTTGGATGGCTGACTTATCTCCTTTCAGCATGGATTCCAAAACTGGTACAGAGAATGTTAGGGAACCCATAGTGACACAGAAACAAAAGGAGAATAGAACATACAGAGACAAGTATCAGAGACAGATCCTTCAAGGCAAAATTTCATAAACGACATGGTCTCTCATTTTAATATGGCCACAAAGAGGCACCCAACATGATATTGACTAGATCATTTATTGAGTGCCAATCAATCTAGATGTAAAAAAAAACCTAAACCTGATATGCCGAAGCATGCAAACAGAACCATTTCCTTTCCTGATTTTATATATATATATTCATGCCGAATGTCAGCTCAAATACGGAGCTTCAAACACAGAAAAATCGGTTTTGTTTATGCATGACAGTACATATTCATACACATTGATTTATATATGTGTACATATAGACAGACGTACAGACTTAGACAAATAGAGTCAGAGATGTGACAGACACACACAGAGAGAGAGAGAGAGAGAGAGAGAGAGAGAGAGAGCGAGAGAGAGCGAGAGAGAGCGAGAGAGAGCGAGAGAGAGAGAGAAAGAGAGAGAGAGGGAGAGTGAAGAAGGTGACAAAAAGCAAAACAGCGATAACAGAGATATGAAAGTGATAGAAACTGAGAGAGAAACAAGACACAGAGAGACAGACAGAGACTCAGAGAGAGAGAGAGAGGGAGGGGGAGAGAGAGAGGGACAGACAGAGACAGTACTGCAGATAGCAGCAGGAAAGCTAGACCTGCCTCAAGTTTAGATACTTTCAAATACTCAGCCAGCGTCTCCAGCAGTGAAACACCAAGTGGTATGGAGGGACTGAAACATTCAATGAAAACAAAATGTCATGATGACGACTGTTATTTTCATTTTGTCCACTTATTTACTTCTCTTACATTATTTTATTATTTTATTTACATTTTAATATATTTTTGTTAGCACTCTTTAACAAATGATCACAGGAGAAAACTGCATCATAAACATCAAGTCTCAAAGGAGAAATACTTAAACCATATCAAATGTCACAGTGATTTAGACAGAACAGCAATGAAAAACATGAGTACTGGAAGACAGGTAGGTAGACAGAGGATATTTAGGATACCCTGGGAAATACAACGCAAGGAAAGAAAATTGGAGAGGAATCAAGAATCAAGGCAGTGGAAAACAGTCAGCAAAGAACTTGATGATTTTATTTGACTTTCTGCCACTATTATTTATCTTGGTGGTTGGTATTTTTGAATGTACTCCTTTCTCCACACAATAGAACTACAATGGTTCACCAATTATGTACTATGTAAACAAAAATCACATGGTTAATCTTAGACTTCTGTGGTAATCCCATGGGAAATCTTGGACTACCATTGGAACCATGGACAGGGTAACAAGAAACAATGTGATGTGTGTACTTCAGGTCTTTTATGCTTCATTATATGATGATGTTAATTGTAATTGTTAATTGTACATTACAAGATACAGCGAAAGATTCTAGGCAATAAATTCAGCAACAAATTGCCTGTGTCCTCAATATTTAAATTACTGACTATAATTAAATGTGCAACTCATGCAGCAGAGTTAACAGTTAACAAATTCAGCAATCTGACAGATGAGAAAGATGCAAGAATTGGATAGGACATGCACTGAAAAAACCTGTTATCAGTAAGCAAGAAAATTATTTCTCTTGAATCTTTGTTAGATATACTAAAATAAAATATAATATAATATAATATAATACAATACAATACAATACAATACAATACAATATAATATAATATAATATAATATAATATAATATAATATAATATAATATAATATAATATAATATAATATAATACAATACAATATAATAAAATACAATACAATACAATATAATATAATATAATATAATATAATATAATATAATATAATATAATATAATACAATACAATATAATAAAATACAATACAATTTAATATAATATAATATAATATAATATAATATAATATAATATAATATAATATAATATAATATAATATAATCTATTATAATATAATATAATATAATATAATATAATATAATATAATATAATATAATATAATATAATATAATATAATATAATATAATATAATATAATATAATATAATATAATATAATATAATATAATATAATATAATATAATACAATACAATATAGTATAGTATAATATAATATATGTAATATGGCCAATTATGTGACTTTCTACTAACCTAGAGGGAGGCCTAAAACACAGGAAAATAATTAGACAGAGAAATGAATAATGTGGGGAGATCAAGGAAGGAGATGCAGGAGACAGTAATGTAAAATTTGTGGTGTTATATTGTGAGTTGACAGGGAAAAAAACAAGACACAGTTTCTACTGTGAAATAAAACTGATGAAACTGAAAGTTGAATGTCAATCTTAAAAGCTGTAAATGTAGATAGGAACCTGGCATACTCACATATTTATGACTGGGATGCTAGCATTGTCAGTGATGTGATCAGTCCCTTCAACCAGAGGCATGCAGCAAAGCAGTAAACCATTCTGTGAACAGTTCATCAGTCTGTGAGCGGTTATACAAGTGACAATAGTTATGGTCACCTGACCAGTATGTCAAAATTTCACTACTTATAATCAGGGAATGATAGATAAACAAACGAGGCAATCCTCCTGGAGAAAGATGGCAACCATAAACTGATTAGACAAAATATGTTATAATAATAAATGGACCCAAAAACTTGGTGATGACTGACAGAATTTATGGCACAGTTAACTCACAGAGAAGCTGTGACCCTAAACCATGAGGTGGCAAAACCTCCATCACACAGAACTCCACTCCCACAACTCTGAATGAATGATGTCAAACAAATGTGTCTCTTTTTAAATTACAAAATTGATTAAATGTCAATAAAAGTGTGTTCAACTAAATGACAAAACTGATCAAATGTCAATGAAAGCATGTCCAACTAAATGACAAAACTGATCAAATGTCAATGAAAGTATGTCCAACTAAATGACAAAACTGATCAAATGTAAAGTGAAAGGGTATCCCACAAGATTACAAACCACTGCAAAATTCAAACAATTATCCAACTCACTTGAAATATTTGCCCTGAAAGAACATATCACTGTGTGTGCACATTTATTACAACTGTAGAAACATTATCCTTCCTTTATCTACTGCACTGAATGCTCCAAATCACAAGAAGTCCATGTCTAGCTAGTCACCAAACAGAAAGCTCCTGGTTTCACAAACCAAAAAGTGAAAACACTACCCCAACTTCACCACTGCAAAAGCAATACATACAAAGCAAGTTCAATTTCAGGAAATCAAAGCTGTTCTGTGTATTTATCCAGGGCTGCTTCTCTACTACTGTCAGCATGCTACAGTTTGCACAGGAAATGCTAAAAGCCGCCTAAATTTTAGAACAAGATATTTATGTAATCTAAAAGCCTGGAAAATATCATCACTAAAATAAACAGAGTGTCAGTATATTAGATATTCACAAAGCGTGGCGAGAAAACTATGAGGGACATTCAGAAAGTAATGCACTACTTCGTTTTCCTGGGAAATGGGAACATTTAATGAGCGAAATTGGAGGGGATAGATCACAGGGTACTTTTTGGAGACTTCATAGACAGGTGCAAAGGAAGGATCGACCTATTACAACAGGCATTATATACACTGATAATGTTATACCAATGACAACAGACAAAGAAAAAAGGGAAGCATTTTTTAAGAGATTTAAAGCCCAAACCGATCATAATGATAAGCAGCTTAGAAATTCAGTTAGAGATATTCTGTCTAATACAATAAATTATAATTATTTTCAGGATATCATTAGGGTGAAGGATATAAAACATGTACTGCAAAAAGCAAAGAACACTGCGCCGGGGCCAGATGAAGTCAGGTATGCCCACATGAAGAGCATGAGTTTTGAAGACTTGAGGGAGATGGCTTTTTACTTAACTCTTTGAATCCCAGAGGGTTTATCATCACAAGCCCAAGGCGTAGTCAAAAGAGACATAAAATCGGCGCATCGTGCGTTCATTGGGCTTCTAGGCAGTAACCTATGAATGTATGATGGGTTTCTTGGGACTCAAAAAGTTAAACCAGAGCATCAGAACAGCTCTATGAAGTATATATATTAATTTTGTGGACTTTGAGAAAGCTTTTGACAGCGTCCATAGAGACGGTCTGTGGAAAATTTTATGACATTATGGAATTTCAGAAAAAATAGTCAACATAATTGCTCTCTTCTATAAAGACTTTTCCTGCAGTATAAAAAATTACAATACATCTTTCCCAGTAAAGACAGGTGTAAGACAGGGATGTGTTATGTCATCTCTCCTCTTCAACCTTGTGATTGATTGGATACTAAAGAACACAGTAGACAGGACATTAAGAGGCAAACGATGGACTCCATTCACCATGCTTGAGGACCTTGATTTTGCAGATGATATAGCACTCTTATCATATAAACATGAACATATACAAGAGAAAAGTAGCAGACTAAACTGCACAGCAGAAATGGTGGGACTGAGAATATAAAGAAAATTAAGATCATGACAAACAGTCCAAACCAACAACCAGTGACCATAAGTTCCCAATCACTTGAAAATGTTGAACATTTTACATATCTTGGCAGAGTGGTGTCCCTACTGGGAGGGACAGAGGAAAACATACAGTCACGCCTGAACAAAGCTAGAGCTGCTTTTGGAAGGATGAGGCAAATCTGGAAATCCAACAATTACTGCAGAGGAACAAAACTCTGACTCTACAAGAGCATCATTTTGCCAGTTCTTCTTTATGGAGCGGAATGCTGGAGAATGACCAAAAAGGATGCACACAAGCTGTCCACCTTCCATCACACATGTCTATGTAGAATTATAAAAATTTTCTGGCCAGATACAATCTCAAACACTAAACTACTTCAAGCCACAAACCAAGAAACTTTAGACAGTATGATTACCAAGAGAAGATGGAAATGGCTTGGCCACGTTATGAGAATGACTTCTGATTTACCTGACAAAACAGCTCTCACATGGACACCAAAGGGAAAGAGAAAACAGGGGCGCCCAAAAACAACACGGAGACGAACGACGGAAAGTGACCTGAGTGCGGCATCTTTGACATGGAAAACTGCACTGAAGATTGCACAGGACAGGAAAGCATGGAAAGTCCTCACTAAAGCCTCATGTGCCACTAGGCATAACGAGAACTGATGATGATGATCAGAACAGCTTCAGGATCTCAGGAATGGGTTCACAGCTACCTGATTCCACTTCCAAAACCAGGCAAAGATCATTCCAAACTCAGCAGTTTCAGGATTATCACCCTACAAAATACTTTTGGCAAGGTGCTAGAGAAGATTATTGCTGTTAAACTACAAATGTTTTTGGAAAGAGAAGAGCTCCTGCCAAAAGGTTTGGGTATTTACCGGCCACGGAAAGATACCTTGTCTAATGCAGCTACTTTTGCTTTTGATGTTTATAAGGGGTTCCAAAACAGACAGGAGATGGTTGTGGCAGCACTTGATCTTAAAGATGCCTACAAAAGACTCAAATATGATATTTTGATTTCTTCACTCTTGGAGAAGGGGGTTTGTCCCTGGTTTGTGAACTGGATTGCAGCTGTCTGGCATTCACATATGGCTGCCCTTTGCCTGGGTACATGGACCTCAGAACCATGTAATATCACCCCGTGACTACCCCAGGGTTCTGCAATTTCACCAGTGCTCTTTAATGTGTATACAAGCAAGACTGCAGAACTTGAATCAGCAGGTGTTGGAAGAATATTGACATTTGATGATGAAGTGCTTGCATATAGGCAGGGAAGAGATAGGCGGCAGATAGCTCATGAGCTACAGGCAACTGTAGACAAGGTGACTGACTGGTCTGCAGAAACGGGTGCTGTCATTAACTCAGAAAAAGCAGCTGTTTTGTGGTGCTCTCTGGAATATAGAATTGTAAAAGCTAATGTTCCAAACCTCACAGATAATAACAGTATCATCAAAAGAGAAATTAAACTGAGGTACCTGGGTATCATTTTTAATAGAAGCCTGTCCTTCAGGAATCATGTGGATGCAGTTGCAGTGAAATGCCAAAAAGGACTCAATGCTCTCAAGATTATGGCAGCAATGGACATGGAACAAACAATGTTGTTCACAATGTTTCAGCATGTGATCCTGTCGGTGATAGATTATGGACTTGGCATGCTTACCATATCAAAGAGTCAGCTAATGAAACTTGAATGAATACAGAATGAAGCCATGATGGTAATTCTGGGATGTACAAGAGATACCCCGGTAGTATGTATGCACTGCCTACTATTGCAGATAGGCTCAAAGTTCTGCAGGCAAAGTCATATCTCAAAGTAGCTGCGGACAAGAGGCACCACCTGCATGAAGCCCTGGATAGAGTTAAGGGTCACAGACTGAAAAGATGAAAGTCCTGGATGGTGCTAGCTGAAGACACAATTGGACATGTGTGCAGGCTTGATAAATTTAGGTGAGGAGATGAGTGGGTCAAAGTGTCGGATGAGGTTTCAGATTTATGTAGGGTTCTAATCAATTTAGAATGTGAGTGCAGGAACTGGCCAGCTGGTGCTGCAGAATCAGAAGTACAGCAAATGATTCATGACAATTCCCGCCTAAGTGATGTGATTGTATATACACATGGCTCTGTGTTGGGGGGCAGACGAAGTGCATAGGGGTTCATAGCGAAGGCGAATGGACGTCTCTTGGTGCAAGAAAGCCTGGCATATGATATCACGTCTAGTTTGAGAATGGAGGTGGAGGCAGTCCCTGCTGCCTTCCGCTGGCTTGAAAATCAGCTGTACACACGTCGTCATTGTAACTGACTCACAGAGCATGCTGAGAAAGGTAGAGACAGACATGTTTTGTACAGAGTGGCAAGCATCACTTCAGAGGTCCCGAGTAGTTGGCATCCTTTGGATATTTTCTCCAGGTCATGCAGGTGTGTTGGGAGATGAGCAGGCAGATAGACTGGTCGATTCTGCACCACTTGGTGGTGATTAACTGATGTATGACAAGCTGGATGTTGTGAGGGCCCTTTAGGTGCGATTGAACAGCGCAGAGGAACAGATAGATCATTACCGTCTTAGGAGAATGGCACTGGGAGGAGTTACAAGGGGATCTGGCTGATGCTTGACACTCAGGGGAAAGCCAAGATGGATAAACAATCAGTCAGTTACTGGTACCATCGGAATTTTAACTCTTCGCTTGCTGCTGGAGATGGGGAGGGAGCGATTATGGGGGTGTCCCGAGTGCTGTGGTGTTAATTCTTAATTCAACATTCGACATTTGTTTTCCTGAGCTACTAATGAAGACACAAGGTTGTGTATTATCCCCTTTACTTTTCATAATATTTATGGACAATATTAATAAAATAGACATAACACCAACAGATGTCGATAAACAGGAGGACTTCAATGAGCTGCTCTTTGCCGACGATCAATGCCTATTTCACAGTGATAGTAAACAGCTGCAAGACCACATAAACCTACTACACGACAGTTGCCTCAAGCATCATATGAAGATCAATACTGAAAAGACAGAAGTCATGAGCATAAGCAGAGAGCAACAGACCATCGACATAAAGATTCTAGATCACAGCCTAAAACAAGTGCAAGAATTTAAATACTTGGGAAGTATCTTTACATTCAATGGTAAAATAGACAGAGAGATCGAAGCAAGAATCCAACAAGCCAACAATGTTGCATACCAGCTTGCCCCAATTTTAAAACACCCTGCTGTCCCAGCTGAGATAAAAAGACAAATTATAAATACAATCTTTGTACCGACATTAGGTTATCAATATCAGACTTGGACATTAACAAAAAACAAGAGAGAAGACTAACCACCTGTGAAATGAGATGTTTGAGAATGGCTGCGAATAAAACCAGAAGAGATCGAGTGAGAAACGATGTGATTACAAGAACTATTGGAACCATACCCATCGTTAAATTTATTGAGAAGCAAAGAATGAAATGGTTTGGTCACCTAATGTGAATGGAACCAACGATGCCAGCATCAAGAGCATACAAAATGAAAATCGAAACACCAAGAGGCAGGGGAAGACCAAGAAGAAGATGGATTGAAGGAGTCACGGACAACTTGAGACTTCCTAACATATGAAGCGACTGAGCGCGCCCTGGCTCGGTTGCCGATCATCTGATAGACTGCGACGCCTAGCGGCACAAGCAGATTTTGACAAAAGAAGAAGACTAATGAAGACAGAAGCACAAAACTGTGCATATATGGTGAGGCCCCCATCTTTTCCACAGTTCAATTCTCATACAATTGTCGAAATCATAAGAACAGTCTTTTTATACACCGCCCACAACGAGTAAACATTGAGGACTGCACAGCAAAACACATAATGATTGACTCAGGAAGGAATTAACCCATATGCAGAGATGACATAACTCTGAATCTACAGGCTGCAAACACTGTTAAAGGAAATGGACAATCCAGATAGTGAGCAATTAGTTAAAGTAAAGTAAAGGACAATTCTTCACGACTTCTGGCATATTGGGCATATAGTACTAGACGTATATTTTACAGACCAACCAGCAACGAATGGGTCATGTGATCAGCATCACCCAACCAGCAATGGATGGGTCATGTGATCAGCATCACCCAACCAGCAATGGATGGGTCATGTGATCAGCATCACCCAACCAGCAATGGATGGGTCATGTGATCAACATCACCCAACCAGCAATGGATGGGTCATGTGATCAGCATCACCCAACCAGCAATGGATGGGTCCTGTGATGAGCATCACGTCGGCTGCCTTTACTTTGTAGAACTGTTCCTGGTCAAGGTCACTTTTGAAGAAATTTCAGCTCTCTCAGGATCCGAACCCACAACCTTCTGATCTGCAGGCAAGTGTCTAGCTGTTACACCACAGCAGCGTTCGAGTGCAATTAGAGAAACCACAAATCTATGGACATCAATATTATACATGTATTTGCTCAAGCAGCAGATAGCACAGAAGGGAATATAAATGTACTGTATAATGAGTTATACAGTACAAATGACCAGTACAAAATGTTTGAAATTACGATGATCATATGAATCATGAAAAGTATCTTTTTTTTTTTAAATGTTGTACCCTCTGCATAGGTCTACTGTAGTGAGAATGTGTATTCACTGCTGTCTTTGGGAACATTATGAGGCCCCAATATCTTCCACAGTGTCACTCTCATATCACTGCATGAAAGCCTTAAAAACAGTCCTTTTCTAAAACAGGCTATCTAGGATCTACCTTGCTGGTCTGCCATCCAGACTCAGATTTTAAATGAGAACAGTCTGGTCAATCTTTAAGTAGAAGCTCAGAGAGGCCAAAAAGACTGATCAGTCAATCAAAATACATCATCAATAATTGTCTGTATCCACTGCTGAAACTTTCCTAATTGCTGCCTGTGTATGGCAAACAGGGAAACTTCTTTTTCTACTTTGTGTTCACTGATCTGGTTTTTTGTATGCAGTCTGGTTCATCGCCTCAGGCAAATACACTCCGATTTGGAAGGAAACATCCTTAATTAGCTGACTTTTACAACATGCTTATTAGAAGGCAATGGATCTTTTGATTTCTTCCTGCACACTGGAGCCCAAGAACCAACATAGGTGCAAAAAAACAGGGGAACATTTAGTGACAACAACATAACACATCCAAGTCAAACCTTCTCAATGGCAACCACAGGCCATAAAACACCCCCATCTGTAAAAATTCTATGAACTGGCTTCTGGATAGGCAGGTCACACCGGTCTCTACTGGGTATAAACTGAAATTATGTCAGCAAAATGTTACATATCTCTCAGCACTGGATAAACTAGAATCATACATATTCAAACAAAGATGTATTTAAAAGAACACACACATAAACTTTACTAGCTTACTCTGAGATGAAATTGTTAAATGTTGTTAATTTCCTGTGAGTTGTAGGTTCCTGTACTTATCATGAAAGGTGTCTAATTATGGGTTTGCTTAAATCGGAGGTGTTGGGCCAAAAGGGTCAGATATCATAGCCTACCAATTCAACAACCGCACTTTTAAGGGTAAACAAAAAATATGGCAACTTTAATGTGTAATTAGAAAAAAAGCCTAACAAATTCCACATACATCTTTTTCTCACTTCCTTTGTCTTTCTTACCTTGCATTTTCCTACATAAAGATGATATCTACTTAACTGCTTGTGTTAAGATGTGACATCAATTTCAACTGTCTTTTTCTTCTGGCTTTGATGAGTGATCTTGTAAACCTGCAGCATTCTGTTTCTTCAGTGCCAGTGACACTCAACACTTATCTATCATCAATTATAGACTATTTTATTTCTCAGTCTCCAGCATTCACATCTACACAGAACAGGTCACAAGCAACTGTTCCTACTTGGAATTCTTACTTATCATGAAACAATTATTGTTGTTGCTTATGGTATTCATCTTTTTTTTTTTAAAGAATCTTTTCAAATTGATAATTAATTCGTTTTTGTAAGGAATATTTTTGGAAACTAATAAATTCTTTTTGTAGAAGACTTTGGAAATGGTAATTAATTCACATATCTCGCTGTCATATTCTTCTTTAGACATCACTGTATAGTCTAGATTCTGAAAATTATTTGTGTCCATAATTAAATTACAATATGTTGAAAAAATAATTGAAGATGAACAGTAACAGACAAGACAGCAATAAAAAGAGCCTAGCTGTCATACAAGAAGATGTACAGTAACAGACAAGACAGCAATAAAAAGAGATTGTCTGTCATACAAGAAGATGAACAGTAACAGACAAGACAGCAATAAAAAGAGCCTAGCTGTCATACAAGAAGATGTACAGTAGCAGGCAGGAAAGCAATAAAAAGAGCTTGGCTGTCATTCAAAAAGATGGTTCACAATTTGTTTGTTACATACCTGTGTGGCATTGTAGGTCTGGGAAATCTCCTGAACCAACAACTGAAGCATGTCTGACGCCTGCGGTACTGGTATGTATGCTTCTCCATGAGTCAATTTCGATCTTTTTTCAACACTAGGAAACTTCCTGTTGTGAACGTCAATGAAAACACAAAAATAACTGTTTTTTTTTTTTACATTACAAATAGATGGGAGCCACAGTGGTATAGTGGCTAGATCCTTGCCTGTGGCTTTTAAGGTCATAGGTATAAATCTGCATGGAGTCGGATTTGTTTATACATGACCTTGGCTCCCAACACGGCTGTGATATCTGCATGCTAACGGCCAACACATCCTACTTCTGCAGGCATTTGCTGCCTGGGTTAGCCTTCCCAGAATTCTTTAATTAATATTCAACATTTCCTGGTACCTATTCTAAGTTGAGTGGATGAAAAGCTTTCTGTACTGAATCCAAAAAATCAAGGTCACTGCACTGCCATAACATTAGTCTACTGATTTTTATTTCAGGCTGATTTAACAGAGGATATTAATTGAAGTATTTCTGCAGAATTATGATAACTGCTGCTTTCTGGTATGACAGAAACATCTGTTTTCAATTAATACTGAGTTTTAAAATAAATATCTGCTTTTTCACACACTCATGGCAAGACTCACTATAAAAACAGAATGTCTATTATTAATGCAGGAGTTTCAAAATAAAGGTCTTCATGGGAAGAGGGATTCCATATATACCCAGTTGGTACCAGTTCCAGTATCTCTTTTAATAAAAACAATAATATTTGGGTGAATTATATATAACAAAACATCAAGTTTAAGGCAACTTCATGGTAAAACTATGTCCTTACAACATAACCAAAAGATCACACTGTCATATTATCTTACAAGAATTGTGTTTTCCCTTACATGCTTCATAACTTTGATCATTAACATAGCATAACTGCTACTGATTACTAAACATGTGCCAGGAAAAATAATTGTGCAAGGAACTTCACGTCTGCAGCATTTAAACATGAGTAGATTAATTATTAGATAAATATATTGTGTTACCTCTGCATACCAAGGAAAATCTAGTAAGAACTATTTTTGGCCAACTTCATGTTACTATTGTCAAACATGGATCCTTATTACAACCAATGAGCACAGAATCATAACAACAGAGAAGAGATGTGTTAGAGGAGTGGTTGGTGTAACAAGAAAAGATAAAATTAAAAAAGAAACAATTAAAAGAGGACTAGAAGTAAAAGCTGTCATTGGGTTTACTAATGAGCAACATATAAGATGGTTTGGCAATCTAATGAGAATGCCCTGGTACCATAGAGAGCCATGCTAAAGAAATATAATTGATACAGCATGAGGGAAAGACCATGCAGAATATCTCTTTGAGTCCCAGGGAAGGCATCATACGTTCATAGGTTTCTACCTGGAAGCCCAATGAATGCATGATGTGTCGAATTTAGTCTCTATTTACTACCCATTGGGTGTGTGATGCTAAACCCCTGGGGCTCAAAGAGATATGGAACAAACACATCAAGAACGGTCTTAAGAAATAATGACCACACAAAAGATCTTCATAGCCCCCCCCCCCCCCCCACCCCTTTTATGTGAAGTAACTGAAGGAAGTGAAGCAGAAGTGACCTTTTCTGGTGATTTAAAAAAAAAATTCACACCAGTAGCTTTTGTCATCCCATTACATATGCATAATGGCAATTGCCGGTCATAACATAGCAAATGCTTATATAATAAACAAAGTAAATGACAGATGTGATATCTGCACAAATTCATCTTTCCATCGAGTGCCGTCATCCGTCCACTGACTTGTAATCTACCAACAGTTGCACGGACCAGTGTTCTGAGTGTTCACTACCGAAGCAAATTTATAAATACATTTCACATTTCAACAATTACAACACTACAAAAGATACAGCAGACAATGCAATCTAAACTACATAATATTACTCAAATACTACTAACAGTAGTAGTGTAAACTCTACAAACAAGGCTCTTGCCTGCTGAAAAGTATAGTTGCCTTTTTGACTCCTGTTATGGGCAGCTGGATTATCCAGACGTGTCGAATTGCGACACTCATATTCACGTAATTTCGTCAAAGCAGATATCTTTAACATACGTGGAGGATTACATCTTTATAAAACGATGTATTTGTTGGATGTGGCGCCTACACAAACGCTATTTTAACCACTACCCTTCTCTAGACTTCTACAATAGGCCATGATACAACACAAGTCACGTGACAACTATATTTAGTTGTGTTCTCAGAGACCCGTCGGGAATTAACGGAGTAGTTCCCCTTGCCACAGTGTCTGCAATATATTAGTTGCGCATCCTTAACAGGACGTTGCAGAGCCAACCCCAGCACTTTCTGGATGTTGTGGTTTTTCTAGGCAAATTTACGTCCAGTAGTTTGCGATTGCCCACTGGACAGTCGGGGCTCTCGATACCACGATCGAAACCATAGCAAGACAAACCGTCCGCGGCAGGGATCGAACACGGCACCCCGACATTACGATTTTACCCTAGCTGACTATGGTTTGGGTCTTTTTATTGCCAGCAGAATCAAAGAATAAAAAAAAAAAGAAAGGACTGGCCAGATTCAACATAAGGAAATGAGACGTATACTCGGCTGCATGCCTTGTGCTAGGCCACGTGTTTACAGAAGATTACAACCAGAAACAAAATCGCACAGGTTAAAACATACATGCGGGTATCCGTAGCCATTAATCACCCTCTGCACAACGTTATTAGCGACTAAAAAGAGGTACTTCGTGATGACCGGGTTGAACATTTCATCCAGTATCCACACTCAGTTTAATCTTGAATTAAGAATCGACATCACAGCATTCGGGACACTCCCATTAGCGCTCCGTCCCCATCTTCAGCAGAAAGTGAAGAGCTTATCCACACTCAGAAGGTGTCATTATTTACACGCAGTTAACTCGGTAGAAGGAACAAGGGCTGTAGATCCATAATTTAAAAAATGTGAATTCTTCTTTTTCTTCACGTTTAACGGCTATAAACTCATGTTTTTGTTTTGTTTTAATTCTGTGGGTCCATTTCTGGGCTTTGGCCTTGTTCCAGAACTTGAGCTTAGCTTGCTCATCCGGTTTACAGATCTGAGTTCACTTTTCCAACGTTCTTTTTTAGGAAAGTAGTGTGTCTATTACCTCCACTACCCCCTGCCCCCTTTCCGCAATGGAGGCCAGGAACACATATGGGGGGAATGATTATACTTGACTCCATGTATTCAGGCTTCTAACTATTCATATTTTATTCTCTGCTGACCTATCGGTCCCATCAGAACAGTTATGATAATGCATACATCTTAGTAGACTATTTACATAAATTGCTTTAGGCACAAGTCAAGCAGCAGTGATAAGATCGATTTATTTGTTTTTCCTTCAGCCTGCTTGAACAGCTTCAAACATGGCTGAGGCGTAGGTCCAATACATATCCTTAACTCATCAACCATACAGGATTGCAGGTGACAATAAGTTGGTCTAGTCCTTAAATGTGCCTTCTTCTTCTTCTGCGTTCGACATCAGTCATGCTATACATTGAGTCCCAAATAGGATTGTGCGTTTAAAGTCGCCACCGGTCCCCCATAGCTTCTCTTTCAATGTGGCTCCATTGGGCCAGATCCACAGTCTTTGCTGGGAGAGGTAAGGGCAGTACAGTAGTATGTGCCCAGGGGTCTGTCTTTCTGCTCCACAATCACAGGCAGCAGATTCTGTTATGCATATCCTGTGCAGGTGGGCTCGAAGACCACAGTGTCCATTCCGAAGTGTAAAAATTGTTGTTTGTTATTTCCTGTTGAATTTGTTTATGCTGTCACTCTCTGGTCTGTAATCTCCATTCTGTCTTCTCCACTCCCGCTTGAAAGACTGCTTTAGCGCTGTTTTGGTTTCCTTGTAGCTGTGTGGTGGATGAGGTTGTGGAAGATTACTCCCAGCTTTGATTAATGTGCCTTGATTAATTAATAATTCTTTCTAGGTTAAATGGGTCTAGGACTCGTTCTGCTGATCTGCCATACAGACTGAGAGTTCGTAATCTTAGGGAGCCAAGCCATCAGATATCAGTTAGGGATGGGTCTGAAGATATGACGATATTTTCAAAGAAAAAAAATTTTAAGCAACAGTCTAAAACAGTAATCCACTAAAGCAGAGGCGAGGTCAATTCTCCCGTGTAAGTATTAGCAGATAACCATGACACTTGTGGTAGATGGGGCGGCGAGGATAGTCTTTTACAACTCATCTATAATGAGTGTACGTATGTAGATGCACTTATGTGTGAATACTAGGGCTGTACCGAATATTCGCTTCGTATTCGCTTCGGGGCCGAATAGTGGACCTATATTCGGCCGAATAGTTGCGGTCGGGCCGAATACGAATAGTAGTTACCATACACCCGCTTCTGAATACACGACCTTAATGCTAACAACATGGAACGATTGGTTTTGTTGAAAGCTAATGCAGCTTTCCTGAATTAACTAAGCTGTCAGTGACAATTTCCAAGTTTAGTTACTTGTTATAATACTTAGGATTCTTTCAATCCTAGTTATTAGTTACCACAGGCTGACTGAAGGATGCAAAACATAAAATGTTTTTAAATGTTTACTATTCTGTACGAAACTAGACATGGAAAAATATAAACTCCGGCCACATCCAAGTCGATAATATGAAAATCAAACGAACGGAAACATATAAGTACTTGGGTGCAAACTTCAACTGTTCATGCATGCTGAGAGAAGGAATACAATCTAGAATCATCATCATCATGTAGCAGGTCCTTTGCAGAACGTCGCTCTCATCACAGTCTGCCTGTAAGAAACTCGGTCTCTTGCCAGTTCTCCCGCCTCATGAACTTTCACACTCAAGGAGACTTATATCCTGTGCCCATCTTCGTGTCTGTCGGCCTCTGCCCCTCCTTTCTGGTACCATGCCTTCTGCTATACTTTTTTCTAATCCGTCGTGGCGCTTGATATGACCAAAATATTTCAGCTTTCGAGAAAGGATGCTGTTTATTAGCCAATCTTACAATCTATAATACAGTATAGAAATGAAGTGTGCTATGCCCTTCAACATCTGCTAAAGTCAAAGTGTCTGTCTAGCAATACCAAGATCAAAATATATAAAACGTTGAAAAAACCAGTCGTGTTATATGGCTATGAAACTTGAAGCAGAAAAAAAAAGAGATAAGGCCTTATTACAGGTTTTCGAAAAGTCTTACGACAAATCTTTGGACCCATCAAAGATGCTAACAGCGGGGAATGGAGAGTGGGAAGCAACAACGTAACACATAATCTGTATAAATCACCATTGATCACTGGCATCATGAGAGCTAACAGACTAAAATGGTTTGGGCATATTGAAAGAATGTCAGATGACAGAGAAGTAAAAACTGTATACACCTGAGAGAGGAATGGGCATGGACCACGAGGCAGAAAAAAAATAAGTTCGAGAGATAATGTCCAGCAGAGCTGCAAACAACTGGTGTCACAAATTGTGAAGAGAAGGCCAGCCAGAGAGTTGAATGGAGACGCGTGATATCTGCAGCAGTAAACCTCAAGGGCTCAGAATGCTAAAGAAGATTATGACTATTTTGTGCTACTTTATGTGAAGTAAAAGTTCAGCGTACATTTGACATTATACATGTGTGTGTGTATGTGTGCTGTTTTTTTTTTTTTTTTAGATATATTTTATGCACTATTCGAATTCGGCCGAATAGCTGGTCCCGCTATTCGTATTCGGCAGAATAGTGGAAATCACTATTCGGTACAGCCCTAGTGAATACATCAGCTCCGCCAGTAAGACAGCTTTAGCATTTAGAGGTAAGATACATACACATATTCATGAAATGAAGCTATCGTTTTCGAATTAACACCAGACGAACGGAAGGATTTAAAAAAACTGATCTCATTTCTTAAAATGGATATTAGAAAATGTTCCGGGAAGCAAAGGTATGTAGGGAAGTTGTTTACCTCCAGGACATCACACCAGCGATAAAACACCAGGTGACACAAAGTGCCAATATGCGGATGAGGATCACCCGTGGAGAGGTCCCGGAAACCCCGTTCCGCCGTTAGGCCATATTTAGGGCCTGGCTATGTTTTAAGGCGCTCGGCAAAAGCCAGGGTGGGACTTCAAAATAACTAAAAATTGCATCCTACATGGGGACGACGCTTGGTAAGGGAAGCAAATGCGTCCGGCGGGATGTTGACCATATGAGTATTACCCACAGAGTGCCGATTGGTTAATACAAAATATAAGTCTTGAACCATATGGCTGATGAATCACTAGTGTGAAAAGGTCCATTGGCTTTACAAGCGTCAACGAATGTGTGCACACATAAATATATACATTATATTCATTCAGGCCTAACAAAGTTAACAGAAAGAGAAAAGGCTCTGCCCTGGAAAAAATCTACAACGTTACTGAAACTTCAAGAGGAAATAAGTGCTCTAAACGTCCGGTGGTCTTGGGACAGAGTCCCTCTGTCAGCATGAACAACATGGGTGAAAGCCGAAAGGAAGCCCATGATGGGAAAACATGTCTGCTGGATGTCAAAACAAAATTAAGAATTGGCTTCTGGAATGTAAGAACCATGTTTGAAACGGCGAAAACCGCCCAAGTAATTAAAGAAATACAGAGCTATAAACTGCATAAAACAGGGGCGCACAAAAACAACATGGAGACGAACGATGGAAAGTGACCTGAGTGTGGCATCTTTGACATGGAAAACTGCACTTAAGATTGCACAGGACAGGAAAGCATGGAAAGTCCTCTCTGAAGCCTCATGTGCCACTAGGCATAACGAGAACTGATGATGATGATAAAATGGAAAATGCAAAACAAATTTCGACATACACAGCACTGGAGAACAAGAAGCGGAAGTGGGAGGTAACTCTGTCGAGGTGCTGGTAATAATAGAGTTGTTAGGAAAGGGGGATACTTGGGATACACTTTAATGTCGTCCAGTGTGACAGTTGCAACCTACTGCTACAGCAGCTTCCAGACGCCATTCTTTAATACAGTAGAAGTCGGCCTCCAGAGTAAGGTGTTCAGTGTACCATATGTACATTGTAGTGTTTGCTGCTAGGTCGTTCGCTAACCGTTAGCAATCCAGTGGTCTGAACTGATTTTTTTTTAACCGTCGTCAGTTGATTAGCCGTTGCCGTTTGTAGTTCAAACAAGGTAACAATGACACTCCAGTGATAGATAATAGAGGGGATTCATTGCATGGATACAGGTGTGATGAGTTCACTACAGCCAGCAGCAGCTGGTCACTCACAGCGAAACCTGCTTGTTCAGTTGACACTTTGTGGTTGTTCAGTAGGAATTTAATATTGCACGGACTTCTGGCATAATCTAAGTCGCAGTGCTGAGTTACAGTATCTGTTATGACAATTACAATTAGGGTTTGTCTGAGATCGAATTATTTTTAAAAAAAAACGGCTATCCCATCGCTTGCTACATCTCCTGTTCATAATTTCTATGAATATGTTACCACCAGTCGGTCCACTCCAATACTGTAACAGTTTTCTTGTATCCAGCGGAAAACCTGGTACCTCAGATGTCACTGCCTGACTTTAATGTCCCTTATCATAAGCAAATCTGACCTCACCCGTGTCATTTTGAGGTCATCTGATCACCTGTTATAATTATCCCACCATAGTAGTGGCAAAAAAAGCATCAACCTTTTCATTCCTTTTACCCTTGCATCACCTGACACACACAAAATGCAAGTGTATTTTCTCAGTTTCTATATTGATTGAAATCACAATTTGAATATGTACAAAATTCTGTTCAAATATGTATAAGGATACTATTGTGTTAGTGTAATAGGTACTTGAACTGCTATCCTAAATTACACATGATCTTGCACGTCAGACACTACCAGGCTGATAATAGGAAGTGACATATAATCTGGCAAATTCCTAAGCATTAAAATATGCCTGGCCACCTGATCAACAACAATACATAAACTCTTCATGAATTATTATTGTGCAGCCAGAAGTTCTCAAGTTCAAGGCCTCTACTTCCTACCTCCACCATCGTGACAAATCAGAATGCTAGGTTTTGTTTGTAATCGTTATTTTTTTTTTTTAAACAGTATATCTGGATTTACCTTCTTGAAGTCTTCAAGGTCCTCAAATAGGTTCCAGAACCTCATCATGGGGAAGAAAGAATAGACCCTGCCTCCCTAACAAGCATGACATTCAAGGTGACTACTTAGGGGTGTTTCCTTCAGAGTTTATCTGCCTGAGAAGTGAGGAACCAACAGTCTGCAGACAAATAAACTGGATCTGTAAAGTGGATTTGCCTACAAAACTCATGTTCTGGAACAAAAACAAAGTCCAGAAATGGATGAACAACCAAAACTTTCTGCCAGAGTTTACTAGCCATTCTATACTAAGAAGAAGAGGAATAAACCTTCAGATAGCAGCGTGGAGGGAAACAACAGATGGTGATTTATCACTTGTTTATGAACAGACATGGTTTCTACAGGATGTTTGTTTATTTTACTACCACATTTTTTTCTAATTTGAAACAGATATGGAGTGGTAGTTGTAACAGTATAAAAGGTCCTAACTCCCCTCCTTCAGGCATATTGGATGTATAGGGCTAGACCAAAATTTTATAAACCAGTCGGCACTTGGTGTGTGATATGGTCAGCATCATTTCTGCCGTTTTTACTTCCTATTTGGTACCCACTCAAGGCTTGGTCGGGACCTGAACCCACACCCTTCCGCTCCGGAGGCCAGCATCAAGCCGCTACACCACAGCAACTCCCAGTAACAGTGTACCTCATACTTTTTTTTCTTCTTCCATCCTTCTGTCAGAAAACTTATATCAGGAGGCCGGTAGCCTTTATGAAAGCTATCGTGCAGTCCATGTCCTCTTGTGTACCATACATCTTTGTCTTCATTGTGACTGGAACAGGCCAGATTGCATCTGTGTTGTCAGCATACAGTTGACAAGGTTGGAGCACATGCTCAGCATTTTCGGGTGCCACGCTATAGGGACACGTCTCCGTATTTCCTACACCAAAACATTTGAACATATGTTGACGAAATCTGTTGTGCCCAGTTCTTAGTCTTAATATAATACACAGTTTTTATCTCGAGAGGTGATGAAGCGAGTCTTGGGGAGAGAATCTGTTGTGGGTATCCAGCCACCTTTCTTGGATACTAGATTGTATTAGTGTTTTCATCTCCTTGTGGGTTAAGTCACTATTTGGTTGTACCATGTCACTGCCGCTTCTGGCCAATCTGTCCGCTATTTCATTGCCTTCCAAGCCACAGTGACCTGGAATCCACTGTAGTACAGATTGTTCTACTGAAGAACCTTGGTGAATCAGCTGTTGCGTCAAGTCTACAAACTGAATGTCTTTTAGGTTAACAATTGCTTGTAGAACTAACATAGCATCAGTCAGAAACACCACTCTGCTATATTTGCTGTTCTGTTGTCCATTCAGGACAAAACATGCCGCCAGAAGTGCCTCGTCTTTGTAACTGGAAGAATGTGAACCTCTTGGTACAGCCTGGTTGCTTTTTAAACCATTTGGGCATTCTATGTATATTCCTCCTCCTTCGTCTCTTACTGCTCTTGTGGCTGAACCATTTGTATAGACTCTAATCCAACTCTGGTGTGGATAAAGTCTGTTCATCTCTTCTTCTATTGTTGATTTCATATCAGTGCAGCTCATTGATGATTTGGAGGATATCCCTGTCTGTTACAGTGGCTCTGACTGTTGGCAGGCTATCCCTAAGCCAAGGACGGCAGTCATTGTAAGGTTTAAATGGAACATTTGGTATTATGGGAGGGAGTTTGAGGACAGAGTGCTGAATGAGACACCATTCATCTTCTTCTTTTTCTACTTCTTAGCTTAGACCAGCTATAAACTCTGGTAGAAATTCTTGTTTGCCTTCTGCTGGACTTTGCTCTTGTTCCAGAATGACATGCTTGTTGAGGTGGAGGGTCTGTTCCACATTTTTTTTTTTTTATCTCTTTAAATAGAGGCCAGGAACATGTAATTTCTCTTTCTTTTCCTTAAATACCAAAAGTACATCGAAGTGCTTTTAGTCATAATTCATAACTGACGTATATTATTGTATTTCATAGATAGTGTGCTTCTGGGTGTGAAAGCTACGAAACTGAAGACATGTACAACTGGATTCGTTGTACCCTCAAGACCATATTCTTCATTGCAAGCAACATTTATGCCTTGCCATGCTACATGGTGTGGATGACATTGCTGACCCCCCTGAGGTTCCTGGCACCCAGTGTCTACTGGAGGATAGAGGCTTTCATGTTCAGGATGCTGCAGTGTATGGTCGTCACCTGGCTGGATCCGGCTGGCTACAAAGGTATTAAGGAGTCCAATTCTTTTCCTTTTGAAAACAAAGTTTTTTTTTTTTTTCAAGTGTTTCTGAAAATATCATTATAATTAAAGATTTGAAGTCACTGAAATCAGGCACAGACTGCTTTTCATTAATTTGGACAACAAAATAGGTTTTATACTCTTCAGAAAGCATTAGCAAGCTACTGAACATAATATTGCCTATACTCTTCAGAAAGCATCAGCAAGCTACTGAACATAATATTGCCTATACTCTTCAGAAAGCATTAGCTACTGAACATAATATTGCCTATACTTTTCAGAAAGCATTAGCTACTGAATGTAATATTGCCTATACTCTTCAGAAAGCATTAGCAAGCTACTGAACATACTATTGCCAAGAAAAACCACACAATAGCTGTATGCTGGGATTGGAATTTGGATGCCTGGACAGAACAGGCAACTAATTGTTTGCAAAATAGGCAACTATTTATTTAATTGTGTTTTGTATAATTTGTTATGTTTCAGCTGCAGCCATTTCGCACAACAGCTGACAAATTGACACATGATGATGATGAGCTATTTTATCTGGAGAAATGCACCATTCATTAATCAGTGGCACTGATATAAGTGCAGCATGTGTTTGTATGTGTGTGTGTGTGTGAGATTCCTGTTGGTAATTGGTTTTACTTACTCTGACTTATATGTTGTTTTTAATTTGTATAAATGGCTGTTACTTGGACGCTTAAAGTTGTTATAACAAGGAACTGTGGGTGTGTTATAATAAGCATAATGTTTGCTTCACCGTATGCTACAAATCTTCTGTTTTGTACTGAAATAAATGTGTGTCATTTGTATCAAGACCATGGGTAGATCTCCTGCTTCGCCTGAACGCGTCCTAGGTAATGTGGGAGCCTGATGGCCTCATCTTGAAAGGGAATTAATTGTGGGCACTTTAGATGGCCAAAGAGCATATATTATTCTCTTCTTCTGCACTCACCCTTAAAATGGTGGCAGATTTTGTAATGGTTTACAGCTAGGCTGCGATATCTGCACCTTTTGGCTTGACAGATCTGCTTTCAGCAATTGCCCAGTTATTTCACCTTTTGTTACATGCTTTGTTAGGATGGCAGTATGACTGTTTCCCCACCCCCTAAATGGGACCCTGGCACCCACACAGGGAACAGGGTGTAGAGTATATAATTTACGACAGGTTGCTACAGGTGGACATAAATGTTGTATAAAGGCAAGAACATCTGCATCATAACACCAGCTGTTTATCCTAATATGACTTGATCTAGTTAATGAATCAGTCATGTAATTGTCAAGACATACTTGTATACCTGTTCACCTTTATTACTGCCTGTCCTGTTTTCAGTTCTGGAATGTGGAGATGACATCAGGCTGCTGCAAGATGAAGCAGCCATCATCCTCTGCAACCATCAGTCCACGGCGGACACCCCAATCGTTATGTTGGCAAGCTACAACAAGGGCATGGCTGCAGGCAACACTATGTGGATTATGTTCATTCTCTTCAAGTACACCAATTTTGGCTTGATTTCCTGGCACAGAGAAGATTTCTTTATAGACCAGGTCAGTTGTTCATTAAGCTATCACTGCAAACATTACTCTCTGTTTTCTCTCTTTTATCTCTCTCTCTCTCATCCTCTCTCTTTCAATGTCTCTCTGTTTATCTGACTGTCCCCATCTGTCTGTTTCACCGTTGTTCGATCCATCTGTCTCTTTCTCACCATCTGTCTCTTTCTCACCATCTCTCTCTTGCTCTATATGTAGGTATTTATGTCAGGAGAAAGAGAGAGAAGATCATCAACTTCCATTATTGGCAGGAAGGAACATTTTTTTGTTTGGTAGAGAACTTGAAGTAGCACTTGCTGCTTCCATTCTGTATGTGTGTATACAATCTCTAATGTCATTAGTTCATCTTTTCTTGGGGATGCACACTTCATTTCACAACAGATCTAATTAGTGTTGGTGGTTGTTGCTACTCTAGTTGTTACTTAACAGAGTAACCAAACCATTTGATCATTTGCTTTTCATTGAATTTTGTATGAGATTTTGTTGATAAAATCTGCCTGATAGTATCATTTCTTGGTTAAGCTGACAGCTTTCCTTAAGGCATCACCAATATTAATTTCACATAAGTAAGCCTTTGGAGCTGTCCACTACTGATGGCACAGTGTTGGTCTGAATGTGCTGTTTGTTGTGTGTGTGCGCGCACGCGTGTGTACTCGTGTGTGTGCATGCATGCATGCATATGTTGTTTGTGTGTGTGGGGGGGGGGGGTGTCATACTCATGTGATTACATGTTTCAGTAACAGTGTCAGTTGGTAATTTGTGAGTGCACTGGCCCTTGGATATCTTATTTCTATTTCCCAATGTATTTTTAGATAACCTCCATGAATTTGCTACCTAGATATGTACATTATTTAACCTATTTTAGATCAGTTCTAGCCAACCTTATATGTAACAGACTAGGCATTTAGCTAACCTGTGGATTCTGCTGATCAGCATTACTTTATGGGGGGGGGGGGTGTAGGGGGAGCGGGGAGGTATGTTTATCTTCATGTTATCTTCTTTATTTTGAACAGCCTGTTTGAGTGGTCTTATATCCCTCCCCCACCCGCCCATGCCCCTTTTAAACAGGCACCTATTGTCTACAAATAGTATCTTGTTTTTTGTGGGTGCAACTAATTTTTTTTCTCAGATGTAAATTTCCTTATTACAAAGGTTGGTTTTTTTCATTTTATTTGGTTGACTGAGCACATGCCTGTCTCACCTGAATTGATTGTGAACGTATCTGTTGTGCCTTCTTGTATTCTTACGGCACTGTGGATAGTGTGACGCATGACCATGATGCTAACTAGCTGTTGTATTTTTTTCTGTTTATTAACAAAACAGAAGCAGCAAGGTGAAATAACCAGTACTAACACAAAATGAAAAGATGTAAAAACCGAACAAAAAGTAGATCAGCAAGCTTCAGAGTATGATAAGACAAACTGAAAGTGAACGTTGCAGCTACAGAACCTTCATCAGCTCATTGCATAAATCAAACATCCCTGTGTGGGTTCCGGAGCTCTGTTACCTGGAGAACAAAATAATAGACCCCTGCCTACCCGAAAGCATGTTGTAAGAGTCTGCTAATTGAGAGTTACCTTCGAATTCAGAGGGCTTCACCTGAGAGGCAAGGAACCAACAATCTGCATAATATGTGTCAGATATGGAAAACAGTGCGCATGCAACACTTAGGTTCTGGAACAAGAAGGACTTCAGTCCAGAAGTGGACAAACAACCAAAACTTTCAGCCAGAGTTTACAGCTGGTGAATGCAAAGAAGAAGATAAACAAAACCTCAAAATACAAAAAAAAATAATACTTAAGTGATAAATCCAGAAGCAGCCATGTTGATGTCTTGCCAGTGAAATGATGAGACACTTAGGGCCTGAGAATAAATAACCCGAGAATTCCAAGGACTGTATCTGGAGGATTTTAGATGAAACTGTGTTAACAATTCAGTCTCCTAGGTGTTAGTGTACCCAAGTTAAAAATAAAACGATTCACAAGAAACTCGCGGACTCTGTCGCTGGAATGACTAGATTTAATGGCTGTTACCTCCATGTCATGGACAGTTGGTGATTATAAAAGCTGAAGTGCAACTGTACTGGATTCAGGGCACCATTCTGCACACCCAAAAGCAGTTGCTTGAACACAAAATAAAAAATTGTCATAGCTAAATAAACTGGGTGATATAAAGTCTCTGAGAAGATAAAACATGGTAACAGAGTGATATGATCACTCCATGACATGGTACATCTTCTTTTTCTTCTTTTATCTACTCCTGGAATGCCTCATAACGTCAGGGCAGAAAGATATCTCTGTAATGGGCCTTTCTATTCATTTCCTATATAGTACTTTTCAGTGTCTCTGATATTTCAGCGGTCCATATTCTGCCTGGTCAACCTCTGGGTCTGTTACCGTCGTTTCTCCTGTCTGATGCTAATCCTATTACCTTGCCAAACAGTTCGATCTGTTGTCTGCCAATACAGTTTAGTATTGGTTCTGTGCCAACTCTCCGCCTGATATCATCATTCCTAGGTCAACATGGTACATGACCCAGTAAATGTGGCTCTTAACCACCCTTTCCCTTTTTTCTTTTCCCCTTACCCAGGGCTCTTTGGGCTATATAATAACCTTTACATTTTTTTACACATTTTTATCTGTCTATGGTTTTTGTTTAAATATTCACAAGTTGTTAAAAAAAAGTATATTTAACAATGACTGTTAACTGTTTGGGACCAGTGGTAACACAGTGGCCAACCTGCTTGTTTGTCAGCTCAGTGGTCATGTGTTCAAATCCCCATTAAGGCAGGTTTTTAAAATTGATCTGGGCTCACAAGTCAGTTGAACCTAAATGGATTCTGGGAGATGTCTGGGAAGTAAAGGTAGCTGACATTGTGTTAACCACATCACCCTTTAAATGCTGATTGATCTACATAAATATGGGCCAGTACCATCTGCCAGGTGTGTGTGCAAACTATTCCCCTTTACTGGCCTTAATTGTGAGCTGTTTACACTTCAGGGCCGAGAGGTACGTAACTTACAATTGGAGAAACTCAGGGAACATCTGATCCAGTCTTATCTGCCACATAAACGCAAGTGGATTATTGTGTTTCCAGAGGGAGGTTTTCTGCACAAGCGACTGGAATCTAGCCAGAAGTATGTGTTCTCATTTGTGCAGTTATACAGGAATTAACTGTTGGTTATTGTATTTAAATAGTTACGAAGTTGCCCGATAAGACAGTGGACTCGGTTCAGTCCCAGAAGTGGCAGGATTTTTCCCACCAGTACAGCTGTGAGGTTGGCTCAGTCACATAAAAAGTTGTCCCCTATAATTTGCAGCATTTTCTCAGAATTAGGTTACAGAATTGTGATAGACGGAGAGCAGGTCGGGGCCACCAAGAAAATATTCATTCAGCCACTATTGTAGACTCCAGTGGTAAAGATAGGAAAAGGTCGGGGTAAAATAATGGCAGCGAGTACGTAGGTTGCCTCCAGGCTGTCAAGAGTTGAGAACAATAAAAGACTGAAAGAAAGCCAAGATTACAGATCATGCTGTATGCCGCAGATGGAAAAAAATTGAAATTGTAGTAGTTCACAAATGAGATTGGAGGAGATACAACAATGGCAAGTTATGGAAGCAGTATAGGCAGATGAGCCAAAAGGAATCGCCCACCTCAGTTGGTATACTGTACTGTGAAAATAACCAGCCCTTGACAATTGACAGATGGGGGAGGCTTTACTGTGGAGGTTTGCAGAATAGATGGGCCAAAGTGATAGAGCCATCAGATGGGTGGTGGTTAATGATCTTGCCAGAACAGTCAGGGATAAGACATGAGAACATTGTGCAAGTAAAAGATATCACATGTGCTAGAGAAAACACAATTGTGTGCACCTGGACCAGATGAGTTAAGGTATAGTCACATGACAAGTTTAAATGATGAAAAACTAATGAAAGTGATGTTGTGTTTCAACTCCATCATTGAAACAGCATTGATGCTTGTGGAAGGTTTGCACAATCATCTTATATCCCTCCCTGGACCAAATAAAGATTACACAAAATGGAGTGTTATAGAATTAGGCAATTACAATACATTAGGTAAGATTCTGGAAGAGATAGTAGGGGAAATGCCACGATCCTGGCTCCTGATATGTATGAGGTGCTTCAGAACAAGCATGAAACTGGGGTGGCAGCACTGGATCAAAAAAGATGCTTTTTTTTAACAGGGTTAGATAAGCTTTTTGCCGTACACACTTATGGATATGGAAGTCAGTCTTTGGATTGTCAGGCTGCTTTTTGCCTAGACGTTTGGAACTCTGAACCCTGCAGTATCGCACCTGGCCTTTCCCCAGTATGTACACAGCAGGAAAGTGGCAGCAGAGGCGCTAAGTTTTTTTTACTTTTGCTGACAATGTCCTCCTCTATTGACAGTGTAGAATTACAATAGAAATATCTAGAGAACTACAGACTGCTGTAGACAGTCTAGGTGAGTAGTGTGAGGACCATGTTCCATCGTCAACACAGATAAGACAGCAGAATTGTGGTGTTCATTCAGTAATATAATTGTTGGTGTGAGGTTCTGAACATCACATGGCACAGGCAGAAGTCACTATGAGAAATGTTTGTGCTATGTACAAGATAGTGCATGGCCAGGAATCGACCACAGTGCTGCTCAGCAATACAGCCCTGCATATAATGCTAGTTATCTTAGACTTAAATTACTGGAAAAAGATAGCTCTTGAAACAGAGACAGCGGTGCAAAAACTGATCAATAAAAGTTCGAGCGCATATAACAGTATTATATAATGGCAAGATCTTAGAATGATAAGACCCATTTGCCTCAAAACATTACATGATGTCATACTATGGAAACCTGGCTAGTTGCTTTCACTAGTAACAAAGACTTTACATGTCTTGTGCAAGGTTTTATGTTAATGTAATACACCCAGGACGGCTCTGTGGCTAAGTCGATGCGAATGCTTCGTAATGCCGGGTTCGATCCCAGCTGCGGGCCACGCACCTTGCGTTGGTTTCAACAGTGGTATTAAGAAAACCTGACCTTCCAGAAAGCAATGGCAAACTACTGGATGTAAATTTGCCTAGAAAAACCACACAACAGCCAGGGGCTGTTGGGATTGGTTCTGCAACGTCACGTAACTAACCTTTACAAAACACCCAGGCTTTTGTTTAAGATTATTATCCCTCTTTGAGAAACAAACAAGTTCCTGTGGGCCAAGAGGTGAAGAAGATGCTGGCATTGGATAGAACATGTATTGAGAAGACCTGAGGACAAAAACTAGAATGCCTTTGCACTGGAACCCATGGGGGCATAGAAATAAAGTCAGACCAAAAAACACACAGAGAAGGCAGCTAGACAGTGAAGTTAGAAAGATGCGAAGTACATGAGATGAAGGATTGAACCAATTAGTGTGAGTTGGCTGAAGGCCTTTATGGAACTGGGGATATAAAGCAGAAGATGAAGAATTGTACCCTTTTGGTATCTGCTGTGGAACATCCTGGGGTTGAAAGAGTTAAACAGTTTCTGTGATATTCTCTATTTATATCTTTAAAATTTTTATTTTACATGTTTGTTTCTGTTATGATGATATAATGTTTATGGGTATTTCTCAGATATGCCAAAAAGTATGGTTTTCCAGTTCTTAAGCATACAACTTTACCTAGAATTGGAGCTATGAAGACTATTCTAGATACAGTTGGAGAACCTTATACAGGTTCAGAGGACAGCAAAACTTTACCGTCACCAAATTGTAAAGATGACCATCAGATTGAAGGTTGGTTAGCTTTTATGGTAAAAGTACATAGTCATTATCATCATACGCTGGTATGCATGCATATATCTCACAGATCTCTAATTTGGGTAATTTGCGTCAGCTCCGGTGATTCTGTTATTCCATGTCACCATCATAAACCATCCAGTATTTTCTTTTGGTCTGCTTCTGCCTCATCTATCACTGATCTTTCAACTTTTAGATCTATACAGGGATCACAGTGTTTTCATGTGCCTGTCTTCTCTTCACATCACTAAAGACTATGACATGTCTCTTTCTTATAATTGCTTATAGTTTACTTGCATTAACTTTTCCCAGGAAATCAGTCAGGGACTGAGGCTGTCCAGGGTGTTTGGAACATGTATTTCAAAAATATCTTCACATGTTTGTGCCAGAATGTACTGATGAGTGCTGATTTCAGTATGCAGCTAATATGGCTGATTACTTCATCAAATGGCAGCTGTTGTATTATGTTTATATGAGATCTGTGTTTAGACAATATTGTACCCTGCTTTCCTGCTGGTCTAGTGATCACGTTGCATAGGTATGTTTCGCCAGTCCAAACCAACTATCTGCCTTTTCGGGCCAAAGAGGCCGATAGCCAGCTGAAGCTTTGTAAAGTTTTTTGTTTCCAGCTGTGTTTTGCTGATGCAAATTTCCCATTTCTTGACCGGGAGTCCTTCACCCAGCTACTGAGTTATGTGTTGATGCAACACTGTCAGCTGTTGATTTCGTATAGAATTTCCCCCCTGTTATTGTGTGCGTGTTTTTGATTACACTAAAATTGCGCCTTTTTTTTTTTAAAAATAGCATGTATTTTGCGGGTGTAATGCCAGCTTTTGTGATTGGCCATTTATGGCAACAGAGCTGTAGTTTTGGTGTGACACCATTAATGTTGGCACATCTGACAGCTACTTTATGCATTTTTATACCACATTTGCAAGCTTCAAGATTTTGCTGGGACTGACAAGTTTTCACTAGTTTTCAAATTGAACAGTCAAGAATAATGCGTTTTATTTTCACTGGCACAGGAATGGAGCAGTAATTGGGTGACCTGTTGGCAATGATGTTGGAACCTTGACTAAAGACTAACTGTTCTGTCAAGGCACATTTTTAAATTGACGTGGGCCTCCATATTAACCCAGCTTAGAATGGATAGCAGGAAATGTTATGAAAAGTAAAGGCTGTCTATGTTTTATTGCCCGTTTGATGATTGGTTTCTTGCAGAATTGAGTTGATTATAGAACTGGTATCACAACACTCAGGCATTCCCATAAGCTCTCCGTCCCCACTTTCAGCAGCCAGCACAGAGTTTCAATTATAGTGATGCCAGAGCATTCTAAGTCTGTCTTACCTTTCCTCTGAGCGTCGAGTATTGGCCAGATCCCCTTGTAACTCCTTGCTGCATCACTCTCACCAGCCTGTGATGATCACTTTGCTGTTCCAAAATGTACACATGCTCTTATAAGGCCTTAACCACATCTGCCTTATCATGCATCAGTATTCCACCAAGTTGTGCAAAGCAAGCCAGTCAGTCTATCTGTTCATTTCCCAACACACTGGCACATTCCAGAGATAATTTCCAGACTCTTACCTGTGACACCCGAAGCGAAGCATGCCACTCTGCATGAAGCATGCCTGTCCTCACCTTCCTCAACATGATTTCTGAGTCTGTTACAATCATGATCTGTTTGTGTATTGTGTTCTTTAGCTAACAGAAAGCTGTGGTGACCGCCTCCACCTCAATTCTTAAACTGGATATTGTGGTATCATATGCTAGGCTCTCCTGCATCAAACTTCGGCCGTTAGCTTTTGTCAAGAATCCCCAGGCACTTCTTTTGGCTCTTGACAGTGAAAAAACTGTATAAATAATCACATCACCCGAGCAAGCATTATCCTGAATGAATTGCTAAATTGGTTTCTTGTAGTCAAGGTTTCAACTTCACTGCAAACAGGTTACCTCATAATTGCTTCATTTCTGTGCCAGTGAAAATCACACAAAATTAGTCCAGGCAAAATTCAGAAACATGCACTAAATGCATAAGGCAGCCGCTAGAAATGCTCACACAAACAGTTGCCACCAGAATTACAATTTGTCATTGATGGAAATAAGAAGTCAGTGACGATAAAATGTTAATATAGACGCATTGTAAGTTATTGCATAAGGAATTTCCTCAGCCCAGACGCAAACTGGCTATCTGCCATTTTCTGAATATTGTGTCACAAACGAGAATAAACATCTCACAGTTCTTCACCAAGCAATTAACACAGTATCTTAGACAGTGAAACTATAGACTCCTGTCCATATGTGAAAGCTACATTAGTAAACCATTTCCAAAAGTAAATATAGCTTCTAAGCAAAAAAAAGACAGTCTGCCTTTCTACCATAATGGACCCAGTTGATCTCTAAATATATTGGACTAAAACAGTAAGCTTAATATACCTGAAGTTATGGCTAATGGAAACTTCACTTGATTTCCTTTTAAATATAAGACTGGAAATACAGGATAATCAGATAGTGATTGTGTTCTTAATTTCTTTATAGACTCATCTGATTTTAGTCTAGAGCAGTGGTCTTTCAATACTAAATGTAGATTTTGTTTCCTCCTGAAGATTCCTCCCGTCCATTGAAGTGGATTATCGACATCACTCTTGCCTACAAAGATGGACAGCCTCTAGACATGTTGGGCATGTGTTTAGGCATCTGCCCACAGAAAGATATTCTCCTGCACTACAGGTTAGCCATTGACACAGTTGTCCCGGACAGTTGCCCAGTGCTTTGGGATATATCACAGTGAAGTGTTTGAAAATATCTTTTTATATTGTAGTCTTTAAAGGCTTTTGTGGGTGCTTTCCTAACTCTTTATCTCACTATGCCATTGGTTATTCCCCCCCCCCCCCTTTTTCCCCTTTCCTCCCTTGCTCTCTCTGTCTCTGTGTGGTAATTTGAAATTATAACATATTAAAAAAAAAATTAACTTCACCTGAATTCAATAGAACCGATTATGATTGTGACAATTTTAGTGGCTTTCACTGTAACAAGTTCATTGGTGTTGACTGTGACAAGTTCATTGGTGTTGACTGTCAAGTTGTGTGATTTGCAGCTTTGATTGTAATGAGTGCAATGGCTTTAACTGTGACAAGTTCATTAGAGATTTATGTAAATGTTTATGGCATATGTTAGCCATTTTTGTAATGATTTCATCATCTATTAAATTGGTATGTTCAAGTGCTATTTCCACAATGAAAATTGGCTGTGATGGATCCCCAGCACATTCTATCTCCTACTATCTGTTCAACCACTTTATCTGGCCACTTACATTGTTGACCTACCTCTTGTTAACCTGCTGTTCCTTACCCTCCAGCATATCACAAACATTAGGCAGAGACTGTCAGAATTTTGTAGCCATGCTGTAAACAAAGGTAAATTGAAACTTGTTTTAAAACTAGAAAGCATAATGGCGATAGATATGGGAAGTCAGCAAAAAACGATTCTGGTCAGCCTTTTATCAGAGTCTAAGAAAAAATCAGAGCATGGGAAAATATCAGTAGTTTTATTCTGTACATTCTGTTGGAGATAACCAGATGTGGAGAAGTGTAGTGGCTGTGCCAGTTATCAAGTCACTTGATGGTGATGATAATTGTTACTTAACCCAGAAATTTTAGTGTTGTATTTCTCTCCCTTCATTCTTGAGTTCTCTCAGATATCTATATATTATTTTTATGTCCATGAAAAACGACCTTAACCTTGAATTCCTATTTAAAAAATCCTCCAAACCCTTGATTTCCAGGGAGTTTCAGGTCATTCTGACACTTTAATTTAACAGTTATTTTAGTGATGTAACAGTTATTTTAGATGAAGTCAGTAATCAAATTGTGCAAATAATGATGTTAACAATTAGTTGGTCATCTCTAGTATTCCATTTTAATGTAAGTCACCCCCCCCCCCCCTTTTCCTTGCAGCTACTGCCTTGTCTTAAACAACAGTGTGTCAAATAAGCTGAACATTTTTTTTAAATTTAATTGTCCTCTGAGGCAGTTCACAGCCTTTTCACAGCAAACAGCAAATGTTTTATTGTCAGCAGCCTCATCTAGTCTTTTTGAAGGGATTCTGCAGGCCTGACAGTTGCCAGTGTACAATGTTGATGGTAAAAAGCTGTGCTTTTTCTGTCACCACCCAGTGACATACTCAGCTCATCTACAAAGTTGATGGTGCCTCTGAAGCTTGAAGTGCCTTCTTATGATGTATTTAATATAATAACTCTACAGTATGTATATTTCATAATCAGATGGTGACCCCACATCTTGTGCTTTCTGCAGCGATACATTTTTGTCAGTTTGTCATTTCATTCACAGCTACCTATTGCCGTTTTGCAGTCAGTGATAATTGTGGACAGGACACCAGGACAGTACTGTCATCTTTTTTCTCAAGATTGACAAAACACATAACACTCAGGGCAAGAAACATTGTAATGAACTAAAACTAAGTCCAGTCCACAACATAACAACTGCAACTCCATCACAGTATAGGCAGTCATCAATGCCATGCTTAATTGTGATAAATTAAAATGCTGGCCCATCTCAGCACATCATAATTACAAACAGTACCAAAATGGATAAATATGCCTTTTGGAAACTGGACAATGTGAGGAACCTAAATCATATTTTCTATAGGATTTGTAATGCATGGGGAAAGTCAGTATTTAAGTTTCTCAGGTTAATATACTAAACAAAATGAACTTGATATGCTTAGCTTAAATAGGTCGATAATGTGTTTAAACTATCCTCACAGAGCTTACAGGGCCAAAGACATTCCAAGAGATGAGGCTGGCTTGACTCGCTGGCTGTACGACCGCTACGAGGACAAGGAGCGGGTGCTGGATTACTATTACAAGTATGGACAACTCCCAGAGGACGTACTCAACAAGCAGCACCTTCTGCCACAGATGAACATGTCCTATTTAAAGTTTGACATCATTCAGCAGATACTTATACACACCTTTTGTCTGGTATCCTGTTATGTGCACTATATTTTCATTCTGAAACCAGTTATGGCCGTTGTTTACTACTTCTTGAGTTTTATTTTCTAAATGAACTTCATTTTGTCATGTTTGTACAGCATTGCCATGTTTAGTCTCGAAGCAGTTACAGCAGTATAAACATGTGAGCCATTCTCTGCCGTAAATTATTGGCAGTGTGATATTCTTTTCTTTGCCCTGTGTTTTATGTTGTTTTCTTGTTTGTAGGAGCAGCAGACTTTTTTCTTTTTCTAAATAAATGTTGGAGGTATTTACAGAAGTAAGTGTGTTATGTTTTTATATTGTTCACTTCAGATACAGTTGAGGAAAAAAATCAAAAATAGTAAAATAAAACAATTCTAAATCAACTTTTAATAATAGCACCAAATATAGTAAGAGCAAAACCGAAATGCACCGCCAAAATCAAGAGATAAAACTTGATTTAAATGGTTATGGCTTAAGAGAGCTGCTGTAAGTAGGAATTACCATACAACAAAATCTATAGCACCAGATAAGGTAGATTAACCATGTCACCCCAAGAAATCTTGAACCTGACATTTGTGTTAGTGACTCCTCCCCTTAAATGCCAGTATTTCTGCTGTGGCCTGTCCCTGAGAAGAAGTTAATGGTGTTGGGTTTTGTTTGCACCTGACAGTGTTTAGGAAACTGAATATGAATTATATTTACTACAAGTAGCTTTAGGGGTTTTCGGGATTTTTAAGATAGATAAGTAAATATTTTGTATTATTTATTAATGTTCCGTTAAACAGATTTTTTTTTTTTTAAAGAAATTTCTGGGTTCATAGCTTTAAAAAAAAAAGTATTTCCAGGGTGAAAAAGTTAAACTTGCAATTGTGTTAAAATAATACAATTTACTTACAGATCTCATAATACACTAAGATAGCCCAGTGACTAGACATTGCCCTCTGCCTGAAGTTCTTGTATTGGAATCTGCATCAAGTCAGATTTTGGCTGCCAGGTCGACCTAGTCTGTGAAGTAAAGACAGCCAGTTGCAAACTGAGTGTCTGTCCAAATGTAGATCTAGTAACATATTCCAGATGAGCTAGTGGCATGTGAAGGATCCTGTTGTATACTTGATACATTATAAAACTTCTCCATGTGGTTTTGAACCCCATTGTGGAGAAAACAAGAATAGACATCGACTTATTGGGGCATCTTTTGAAGTGCGAGTACATCTACCTAGGAGGCAAGGAACCAAGAGTCTGCTGACAAATAAGCCAGATCTGAGTGAAACAGATATGCACATTCCAGGTTCTGGAAAAAATTAAGAAACAAAAAATATTAAGATAACAGACTCTTTCACATAAGTAGTGGATTGGGCATATTTTTGTAGACCAAGCAGCCCTGAGTATGGATAATAAGTTCAACATCACGCTGGATAATAGTGCAGCCAGACATATAGTTTCTAAATAGAGGAGTATAGTAGTGTTAGCAGTGTAGTTATAAAACCTGGGAACAGTGCGGTTGCAAAATACACAAGCATCCCTGTTGTGTTTGAAGGGAGTACAGCTCTGGCCACTAGTGTGTGAAAATGAAGGTACAAATCAGCATTTATAGAAATTGAGAAAATACCTTTTTTTTTTCAAGTTATAAAAATGCAAGAGAGTGTGGGTGTGTTGATATGAGGATATTGAATGCATTTAACAATTCATATCCTCCTAGGTTTCATTTTCACAGGTGATAGTTTAGAAGGAGGAAGTTTTTACAGCTCTCACATAGTAGGAGAAGATTCAGAGATTTGAGCCTCAACAAAAACAGTGTTTCCAGAAACAACAGTGATGCACAAATCCACCACAGCTCACCTTCACTATGGAGACAGCACAGTTCTCTTGTAGTTTTTTAAATACAAGAGAAACTGGCAGCCACAGTAGTGTAGCGGCTAGATGCTCACCTGCCAGCCTGAAGGTCTTGAGTTTAATGCTGTAAGAAGTCACAAAATATTTTTGTTTTCTTTTAAATTACAATGACCCTCAGGTTGACCCAGCCTAAACTGGATACGAGGCAAAGTTGTTGACAATAACTGGCCAGCATGGTGTTGACCACATCACACCTCTTGTGGCAGCTGATCTATACAAATATAAGTCAATGTGCCATTGGCGTTTAATAAAAACCCGTTATTTTACTTTTGCATGAGAAAGTTTAAAGCTCTTACAAACACCACAGCTGTATTGCTGTGAAAGATTACAGTTTTTTTAGCAGTGGAACTATCACACGTGGAATTATCACTGCAGCAAAACTGCAAGGATTTTTAAAATTGTAAAACAGGACTAGCCATCAAAATATAATTTAATTTATATGTATCTAAAGAGGTAAAAGTAAAGGGCCCTTGTGCAGACCTTCACACGTGTTAGATATGTAGGGCTAGACCTTTATTTTGTTGACACTTGGTGGTGACGTGGTCAGCATCATGCTGGCCGCATATACTTCCCAGCACATTACCTGGTACCTACTAAAGGCTGCATCGATCTGGCTGGGAGCCAAGATAATTTTTTTTAAAGGTCAGGCTCCGTATTGGGTATATAGGGCTAGACCTACATTTTAAAGACCAGTGGGCACTTGGTGGATGATGTGGTCAGCATCATGCTGGCCACTTGATCTTACCGGGACTTTGTCTGGTAGCCACGTAAGGATGGGTTGACCTGGAAGCCTAGGTCATTTTGTTTTTTTTTAAAGTCTGGCTCCATGTGGATTTGAGACCATGACCCTCAGATCCACAGGCTAGCATATAATAAAAAAGACTAGATATGAAATACACATTATTAAATTATTATTAATTATCATGATTTTATTTTGTATTTTTATTTAAATGTGATAAGGCTTGTGTCTCTTAATTTGTTACAATAATTTTCAATGTTCTGAAATTAACAGACTGCATCGGAGGTCACTTGCTGTGTGTTTAGGTAAGCCAGATGTGAAAATGGTGACGCAGGTTACAAGGAATAAAGGCAATAAGACAAAATAGACCTTGAGTGTCAGCAAATTTAACATTTGTATCATCTTCAGTTGTTCAAGGCTACAAAACTACTTAATTATTTTCTTGACCTTAAAATAGTAAAAACACAAAACAATATCTATTCCAGTGTTTCTTCAACATTCTTTTAACCAGAAGACAGGGAGATTCAAACATGAATTTAATGGCTATTGCCTACAGCTCTCACAAATCTGCATGTATGATTAAACTCTTTCTCTTGATGTACTTTAAGGTCTGCCTCTATATTTGCTGTGGTTTCCAGTGACAGAATATTCTACTTATGTGATTGCTGGCTTGTCTGTGTATGTATTCCAGCACCAGTCTTTTACTTGTGTTTTTTGTGTGATAGAGTTTGTTGAGTTTTCCCCTAACCTCTACATTAATGATTTTTTTTTATTACTCTTGTCCTACTTTTCTACACAGGCACCAGTCAGTGAATATTATGAGTTATAGATTTCCTTGATAGAAATTACCTCATGAAGAGAAATGGTTACCCACATCAGAAGGAGACAATCTAAATTCTTTGGTCATGTCATGAGAAGGAAAAAACTAGAATACAAAACAACTGAGAGAGAAGATTCTGGACAGTTTGGCAGCATAGCATTGGAGTTCACCTGTGTTGTAAATGACTGACAAGACATGGGACAAAAGGCTGTGGATAAACATGACTACCAGTGCCATACGGCATGGACTATGAGAACAAGTAATTATGTTAGCTATTCTCAGTTTCTCTAATACAGAGACAGCAGGACTGATTGGATGTTAATGTTGAATATTCTGTATTTGGTGCCGGATTTTATTGTTTTTAATTCCACATCTATTCTAATGATGTAGCAGTTCTTATTTTAATTTGAGGTCACAAATCACATACTCAGTGAATCATAAAACACTAAAATCTAAAATCTTATTTTTTTGTTTGTTCAGTAACCTCTTTAATCATTGTTGTCTTTGCCTGTCTATACAGGCATTTAAAAGCTTAAGCTTCTTCGTACACCAACTAAAATCTTCATCTTCCTTCCTACACCAACCCCTAAATCCTTGCCATCCAGTAAAACTATACATTGAAAAAGAATAATGGCACATCGTCACCTTGAATGAATTAGGGTGCTTTTTTTTTTTTTAGCTTCTTCCTACTTTTTAAACAATAAATGCTCCACCTGGACACTGATCACAAGGTGTTGTAGTAACGAGAATAAATAACAGTTTCAGTAAATTAAATTCATGTTTACATTGAAATATATATATTACTATTAACTCTTTCAGTCCCAGAAACGCATCACGCGCTAATTGGTTGCAACCTAGTGGCCCAGTTGACACGTCAACGTGAAGGTTTTTAATTTACCACTGACCGATAGTAAAATTCGGACCTCTCAATTTCTCTTTCCTTGTGAGGTCTTTGTGTCTGATATCAGGCTGGCTCATTTAGAATTAGAAACATTGTTTAAAAGCTGAAAATGTAGTGTATTTGCTTTAAAAGATTCTCTGGAACAAAATCTAATGTACAGATTGAGTATATTTTACTGATACATTACTAAGTTGTTCGTGTTCATTTCTGATTCTCTTTGGTTATATTTTAACGAGTTTTCCTTCAGTGCCATTGTAGTAAGTTTTTTTTATTTTTACTAATTTCTGTAAACATACCGTCTGTTTATTTACTAATATTTAATTACTAACACAGTTATTTGTTGTAGCAGTGTTTTATTATTATTTCCAAACAATCCGTGGTCACTTTGATCATAAGATGTGTATGCTGCTCAGCAGTTGAATAAGTATGGTCTGTTTTAATGTGTTACACTTGTGAAATTTCAAAATTGCATTATCACCCCCTAGGCCTCTGATACTAAACCCTCTGGGACTCAAAGAGTTAAAGGGACTTTTAGTCACTTTTATTATAGCAAACATTCTCATCTTTTTACAGAAGAAAGATGATCACAGACTTTTGGTAGGACACTACCTCTGTGTGTAGACCTTTAGCCATTTTACTGATTTCAAAAATAAATGAAAATAATTTTAAAGTCACAAAATTTCCTGTAGATTTGAACAACATATATGTTGCAATGTTTGATTTTGCTTCAGTAC